TGTTGAATCGTGCTTTATTTTTAGAAGAACAGTAATAAACCAAAATTGGCAAACGCGTTACCAGGCGTCCTGCATTTTCGACGCTACTCCTCGTCTACTTGGTATTAATAGTCCACTGCAGGGGTTCACAAACTTTTTCACGGGACAGGATTATGGTGCACAAGTGTGTGCAAGCGCAGATGCACTCTGTTCCAATCTCATAGTCCGATGAAACGTAAATCCAACACCACCGTGGAGAGATCTGGCGCAGGACCAACGGGTTTCTAAAGCACGGGGCGAAACACCGCCAACTTCCTCACTTTGGGCTGCTACTGAGAGTTTTTTTAACATAAAAACCTACTTAACCGATTTTGATTCGACCCAGGATTTAAACCAGGCTCCACTTGATCAACAGTTGAGTTAACTGGACAAACGAGGTAATTTAAAAAGTAGTTATTAAAAGATGGCTACACAGCCATCTATCGGAAACTGTGAGAAATTAATGGCTTTCCCCATAGTCACCTCTTAAGGGCACTTACGAAATCGGAGGATGAATTACCTTACACTGCCACGTTGGTACCAATAGCACATATTTGTACGAGTATACAAGTAATTCACTTGTTAGCAGGGACGGAAGAAGAGGAAGACCCAAATTTGGTGTGGGCAAGGCAAGGGCAAATATGGTAAATTTTTTTATAATATCTCTCTTCTTAATATCTCTTTTCTGTTTAGATTTTATGAAATTTCGACATAACGTTGCTTTCGAATACGATCGTAATTTTACTTTTTAAGTAACAGTGCCATCTGTTGGACGTAAACACAATACTTACTTATTGTTCCGCAACTAAAATGTATCCATTTTTAAATAAAATAAATATCATTGGAATGTCTTAGCACCATCATTAACATCATCATTAACCATTTTAAATCTACAACGGACGGACAAAGGCTTTCTAAGAATTCTCACTAAAATGGAGTTGCGGTTTTTTTCTTTACTTTTTTTTATTTTACCAGACTGAGCTACAGCTACTAGTTAGTACAGCTAGTAGTGAATAAACATTATAATAAATTTCTTCTTATTTGATCCTATGCAAAACCCTTTTCGTCACACGAAGACAGCTTAGTAATTTTTTAAAGTTAAATTTCTTCTACAAACAGGAAACATAAAAAAAACAAGTTCAATAAGACATCGCTGTTTAATTCTTTTTTTTTTAAAGGACAGATTAATTATAAACATTTCCAGTATCACGTATACACGAGTAAAACACGCATGTGTGCAGTTTTTTCGTCGAGATTTATGGAGACATGCATTTAATGAATGTTTTATATGCAAATTTTGTTTCAACTCCAAGAAATATCGAGATAAACTCGTCACGTGTCGCTTCGACTACCGTTCCAATAGTACTTCCACACTTAACCATCACAGATAAACAACCATATAGTGCAAAAAACAAAACAAAATGAAAAAAATAAATTGTTATTCATTATTCTTTAGTGGATATACATATAACACTGGTCTACTAAGGTCAGCTCGACCTGGGCAGGACCACGCTCGCGGTACTCCAGATGATATATAGATGACAGATATTTGATTAGACAATTAGAGTAAAAACTCAAAAAGTAGATATTTTTAGTGAAAATACTGAAAAATATTAAAAAAAAGCAAAGGGTAACTGAGGTTGCACAAATGTTAGGCCTCTGTCGACATTTGATCCGCCTACATCTAAAATCATTTGCAACTAGCAACATGGTTTTAGGTGCATATAAAAAGAAAGTATAAAAATGTGTGTTCAATTGTAAGTCAAGAAGTTGAGCATAGTTTTGGCATCATAAATAGACGCAGCATTTCATCTATCTTGCTTTGTTTTAGTCTATGATTTGACTATGATAAATCGTTGGTTTCGTAGACAGAGTAACCTATAGACAAATTAACGCTTTCTTTCGCATTCGCACACGAAAAAGATAGATTTATACATACGTCTTGCATAGAAATGAGACAAAGATTGTTTGTCCCTTTCTCCGTGCCGGTTTTTTTGTTTAGCAAACTACACTTTTGCTAAACAACTTTGGCAGTTCGTAGCGATCTAAGGAGTTTAAAAGTTGGTTTAAGTGAGAAAGAAAGTGTTTTGTGAGTTTAAGATTGGTGAATCTAGTTCAGTTTATTCTTAGAATAATTAAAATTTTTATCTAAATATGTTTAAAAGTCCTTTCTCACTCGAGGCCACGCTAATCTTAGTTAGTCTATAGGTGTCTCTGTCTACGGCTGGTTTATTAATCATCTACTAAAACAGAGGGGTGTCATATGTTTGTAGTGTGTATCTGTGTATTTTTTTATAGAATAAGGGTGACGAACGAGCACACAGTCCACCTGATTGTAAGTGGATGCTGTGGTCCATAGACATCTACATTTATCGTCGATTAAGAATCAAAACGCAGATGCGTTGTCACCCCTGAGGACTAAGATGGAATGCCTCGTTTCCAGTAAAAACGGGTCTCCGGATCTCTACACTCACCATACGAAACACAGCAGCATTAAGCTGCTATTTTACGCTGGTATTCTGTGAGAGCGTGGTCATTCCCCGGTCGAGTCGACCCATTCGTGCTACAACCATAATATAGCTGCAGAGTGGCTCTACCACGTATGAATGTGTATCTCTGTGTCTGTCTGTGGTATCATATCTCCTGAACGGAGGAACTGATCTTGATTAAGTTTGAAAGGTGTCTTAATCAAGAGTGTTCTTAGCTATGTTTAAAGAAAATCTGTTCAGACGTTTTAAGATTATGAGCTCCTTTTGTTTCGACTGCATTTTTAAATTTCTTAAGTGATTACAAAGTTGTATTGATAGCATAAAGTCACTCACACGTGATTATGTTGAACTTGAGTTGAAACATTTAAGAATTATTCGAAGGCAATGATTCAAAATTTCTCTAAATATTTGTGCGTGGTACAGAACTAGCATTTATCTTTATTTTTTTAAACGTATTTCCATTGATTACTTAACGAATAATTACAATTGTAATTTAAACCTATTTAATTATTTACTTAATAATTATATCTACATAATAAAATGGACTATACATAACAATATACTAGTTTATCTTTGGTGAAGGAATATTATTTACAATTCAGTTAACATCCCAGGAAACGTAAATAACAATAATCTTTACAGACAATTATGTAAACTTTTAAATATTCAGTAACATTTGCTTAAAATTAAATATTAAAACACAATACAATAGGATTATTCAGAATTAATATTATTATATTGTGATTACAAAAGGTACTATCAACTTCCTAATTTTTCTACAGAGTACCTCTTAATCATAGAATACTATAATACACAATATATGTATATATATGGCTGTCAACCGTATTTTGTACAAGGGTAGGCGTTGCCGGGAGCACACATATAAGCAATTATAAATAACAAATGACTACCACGAGGAAATTAATGCCACTACATTTAAAGAGTGCTTCCAGAACGTGCTTTTGCCCAGCCTACCAGAGCCTTCTGTAATATTCATGGATAATGCCTCCTATCACTCGCTTCAAATACAGAAACCACCTACCCAAGCTAATAAAAAAGAAGAAATGGTGGCTTGGTTACAAGCAAAAGGCATTGACGCAAATATGCAGATACTAAAACCAGAGCTAATTAAATTAGTTAAAGAAAATAAAGCGGCAAATGTGCGATACGAAATCGATGAACTGGCTCTGGAGTACGGTCATCGCGTTCTAAGAATTCCACCGTATCATTGCCAATATAACGCGATTGAGCTAATCTGGGCTCAAATAAAAGGTAACGCCGCCCGCCACAGTACTTCCCCGCCATTCAGCACGAAAAAGATGATGACCCTATTAAAAGAAGCCTGCGGGGAAGTCACAAGAGATGACTGGGCAAAGGTTGTTGAGAAGACTAAAAACCTGATTGTGGAACATTTTGACCGAGATATCAGGATTGATTCTGTTATTGATAATAATATAATTATACATGTAGGCGAAGATGATGATGAAGACACCACCTCCTCAAGCGAATCGGAGTCTGATTAATATTCTGTACGCACATTCATTTCAATGTACTTTATTGCATAGAAATATAGATTGTAACTTTGTAACAAAGAATAAATAAAACAATTTTATTATATTAATATTACCTTTTTTTGGTTTCCACTTAAATTACTAAATATATAATAAATCTTTAAATGATTCCGCCAATTTAAAACGAAAATAATCTTAAAAATAACGCGGCGGTTTATTTTGGAGGAACGGTAACGAACTCAGTGTTATGTTGTGCCCATCACTAGTCGTGACTAACTGACAGGTGTCAGGAATGCGTTCTCTGAACGGCCGAACTATAAGTCATATTATCACTACTACAAACCCGATTCGCTGTGTGGACAGACTGAGTAAATTTAAACATTTTAGACTGTTGATTAATGTTCAAGATCATCATTTTAAGAAAATCGCTTAAATTTTAATACATATTTATTTGTAAACAGTGTGCAATTTGGCATTTTCTTAATAATTTGCATGCGAAATTTGAAAACAATTGTAACGTCAAAACACATCTCTTGTTGACAGTTATACGTGTGAATTGACATGTTAGTGACATTTTAGTGGCCTCACGGGCTCCGCCCACTCTCCTTTCTATGTGTATGTATTATAGTATTCTATGCTCTTAATAGTTACATTTCATAATTTCATGTTTATCAAATCCTTGTTTATCGTATGCAATAAAAATGTACCAATACTTATTTCACTTAAACCCAAAAAATAAAAATAAAATATTATTGAAATTCAAGCTACGCGCAAGTATACTTACAATATTGTGGGTAAATAGTAGGCATAATTTTTCAAACAATATACGGTACTTAGTTAATGAAATTGGAATTGTCTCGGTGTTGCCAGACGCCTAAATCTAGTCAAATATACTTCTATGAAATATTACATCAACAAATGTAAGCAAAGTCTTATTTCAGTGTACAGTTAGTTAGTTGAAAAAGAAACATTGTAGAATCAATTAGACCGCTGCTATGAGTACTAGTGTTCTGTGATTTAAACACATAATTATGACCACAATGTGATAAGTAATCGAAAAATCTTTTAAATACTTTCAACTCGTTTTGTACCCTATTTTACAAAGGCTTATATGTATACCACTAGACGCGCTCTACGGTCTTAAGAGCCCATACTACCCCAGCTGAAATTCTAATTTCGTCCACACTTCCCTTTTCATTGTACAGACTAACGGCTACTCAATCTAAATTTCTAGTACAAGTTGATCCCTCATTGTACGGAAAGCCTATACAATGCGAGATCAGCTTATATTGGAAATTGTTTCTCTGTAATGTCACCAAGCATAAGTTCGTCCCGCAACAGATGCCGCAGCAGCTGAATGATTGAACAAATTGCAAATTGAAAATGATACCTACCGCGTGCAAAACACGAGACAAAAAGACAGTGTGGTCGTTTAGAATAAAATAACGCAAGCGCCAAATCACATAATTGCTAATTACGAGAAGACCACATGGAAAAAATCGTTACGATTTGAGATTTGATATTATTATTATCAATCTATTATGTTAAAAATCATCATTCAATTCCATAAGATTTCAGGGATTTAACTCAAAATAAGTTTCGTATTTTTTTTTTAGAATTTTTTTATAGAAACGTGTTTTCGCTTCAACAGATAGAAAGATTATAAGTCCAAGTTTAATGTGTTCAAATAGCAAACTCTTCGGTCCTATAAATACCCAGATCAAGATCGCTCAATATCACCAAAAAGCATCATTTGGACACTTAATACATTGCGCACTAAGTTACGGTCAAGTCTCCGTAACTCCTTCAGTCGACTGCGAGCGGGCGACAAGAGTACTTTTTTGTTTTGTAAACCTCGGACGTTATTTTCGACAACATATCACTAATTTGTTTAATTTGAAGTTTATTTCAGATACGTATGTAACTTTATTACGTATTAACCTAAAAACAGTAACTGTCGTAAATGAAAATACAACTGCCATCTTAATTTATCTATCTCGATACTCGTTGTCCACAGCTGTGACATTATTTTTGTCGAATTGCCGGCATAGTAGAATATATAGTAGTCTTTGCTATTGGCTATTTCACTAACTATTATCAGACAAATATTTAGTTAGTACAACACTAACATAACTTTAATATAGCTAAACATTTATATTTAATTTTGAGCATTTTAATAACAACTCAAAATAAACTGATATAAATGGATATAATAAAAGAGAAAAAAAATGTTTTTGATTTAATGAAAGAGTTCTCACCAATTAGGATAGTAATTAAAATTATCTTTCTGAATTCCTGCGTAAAAATCTGTTCACCCTGGAAATTCTGTTTTTGTAAGTTTCGATCGGGGCCCTACGCAATAACCTTGTTGCAGTAACTCGGGTCATAGCCGCTTTATAGCTTTCAGGTGACAAGATGGCTGGCGTTTCCCGCGTTTTCAAAATGTCAGATGGCATGATGGCTTCGTCCGACAACATGGCGTCAATGTCGCCATTTAACATAGCAAGGGAGTCGGATGAGGTGTAGTTGGCTATCGGAGTACATAATGGTATAGCGTTCGACCATTTTCTGTTTCTGAAATCATAACTAGTATTAGAAGATAATATTCATCATGTTATAATATAAAACAATAAATTTATGGTTCTATTCTAAAAAGGTAGGTATATTTTGCCCAAAATGTAAAATGAAATATGTTTATGTTAAAAATATTAATTTTTATACATCATTAAAAGTAAACATTTGGGACTAAATAATGAGATGAATTTCAAAAACATTGCAATAAAACACCGAAAGCTTAAAAAAATTACGCAGATTTATAAACGTTATCCCTTATAAACGATGTGTTTCAACATTTTTTAGAAGTAACAAAGATAGGCAAATGTTTCACTCGCGGCACGAAAGTCTAGCGGTGACCTTTATTGCGCATAACTGATCGTATTACATATTATTGCGCATGATTGTGCGTATCGTTTGGCTCTCCAGTCGCATTCCGTCCTCCGTACTGATACGATATTCGCAGCTATTCCCTCCACGTTTCATTCAGCGCTAGACTTACGTGCTGCTAGTAGTAATCAGGATTGGATTGGAGGATTGAAGTTCAATAATTAATTAAACTGACGATTGCCTTTTCAGGTTGCATAAAAATCAATTCAAGTAAATAAACATTATTTATCAGGAATTAATATAATAAATATTTAAAAAAAACTTACTTAAGACAACGCAGCATTGGAGCCCCCCTAATTTTATACCCTGGTTCGCAGGTAAAGGTGACTGTCTCTCCAATTTTGTAGTAGAACTTCACGGAAGACATGCGTCCTGATATAGTTGTTCCAGGGTATGTACATGCTTGGGCACCTAGTGATATGCAACGAAAATTGATAATTTTAAGGCGAACTTTTCCAGCATAAAACTTAAGCCAATTAATCGATTCTGTTTCGGTTAAAAATAAAGGGGGAAAATATATTCTTATAAGAGTTGCTTTAATTAATCTGTCATATAATTCTATATTTGTTTACTATGAACATGAAATAAAATAAGTAAAATGTGATAGTTATGTGTGATTTAATTGCGGAAAATACTTTAGTTATAATATTTTATGTAATTCTGAAGATGCACACATTATGTATTAATAAAAAAATGGGGTGATATAAATTAAAAATCGTTTTAAGTTCCAAAGGTTGGGGATATCTGAGAATGGGGCAAAAATGCAATATAAAAAAAAAGAAAAAGCAATCTACATGATTAAAATGACTTTCTGTTTGTCAAATGCGTTTATTCAGTCAAAGCAACATTAATACTTTATTTACATTCGTCTTCTACTCACAAGTCGGCGGCTTATCGCTCCACCGACCACTGTCCTGGCACACCAGAATCGGTCTTCCGTGCAGTGTGTGTTCAGGGTTGCAGTGGAACTGTAAGACGTCACCAGCTCTGTACGGTGCTCGGCCAAGAACGTAGCCCGATGCTGGTGGAGGTAATGCTGGGCAGGAAACTTCTACAAATTTATTTAGGAGTCGTCAGAATTTTGTTTGTTGTTTATTGTTATTCATAAAATCACAATGATGTCGTTTGTTGGAGGCATAAGAACAAGTCACTATATTTTCATCTCTTGTGTAGTAAAAAAAATGTTCGATGAAATGATTTTTCAGGACTTGGAGTACATAAAAAAACATTTATGAAAGAAATTGCACATTCAAACATTTACAAAGGCAAATACGTTTGTGCGGACCTGAAGTAACCGATTATCATTACTTTTGGATCACCTCTCGTAGGCATATAGACTGGACAGTCTACATGATTCCGTACTATGCATGGGTCTCTCTTCTCAGAGATTTATAGAGCTGTGTATGGAATTTATGTGTATGCAGCTATTTTATAGTTTTAGCATGAATGGATCGGCTCCACCAGGGCAGGACAATGCTCTCGCAGAATACCAGCGTAAACTAGCAGCGTAATGCTGCTGTGTTTCGTATGGTGAGTGTAGAATCGGAGATCCTTTTTACTGGAACCGAGGCATTCCATCTTAGTCCTCAGAGGTGAAAACGTATCTGCGTTTTGATTCTTAATCGAGGATAAATGTAGACGTCTATGGATCACAGCATCCACTTACCGTCAGGTGGACTGTGTGCTCGTTTGTCACCCTATCCTATAAAAAAGTTACAACTTACAGGGAGTATTTAATTCTGGGTTTTGGCTTCCTTTCATATCTGAGTGGGTTTTTGGAGCAAGGAAATGTACATAGCCGCAATATCTTAAAGCGCGTTGTCGGACTTTACATCATGTATTCGAAATCTTGTTTTGAAATTAGGTATTAACCAGGTTTTTCTCATACCTGCACTACATTCATGTATTCGAAATTTGATTATTAGATATTAACCAGGTGTTTTTTATACCGCCACTACACGGTCTCTATTCACTACGTGGTATCGCCTCGTGGGGTCTAAGAGTTGGCAGAGGGAAACAATCCAGGAAATTGGCAGCAGGGTCTTTGTAATAACAACTAAAAAGCTGCTGCAAGTGAGGCAACTATGGCAAATATCGTCTTTATGAGCCTAACCATAAGGATGTTTATTACAGGCTGTTAGGTATACATGTGGTGCTATTACGACCAGGTGGTATGTGTTAAGTTGAGGGCGGGTGGAAGTGGTAATGATGATGGGGTGTTCTTGTGAGGCAATCTATAAAGCCCATGTTGGAGAGATGTTTGTGTGCAGTAGTAGTGGGGTGTGTTTTTATTGCGATTGAGTGGTGTGTATGAAGTGGAGGGTGGGTGGATGGTGGCGATGGCGGTGGGCTACTCTTGTGAGGCAATCTATAGAAAAGCCTAAGTTGAATCTTTGTGATCGGGTGGTGTGTGTGTGAAATGAACAGGATGGTGGTATATCTGTTCAGACGAAGAAGGGCTGGTCCAGTCTGCAGCCGGCAGGCTGACGGTCTCGTGTGAAGTTTATACGTGGTAGAGCCACGCTGCAGTTCAATTAGTTGTAGTACAAATAATTTGGCGCAAACTAGTACTTTTGGCTAAACAAAAAAAAAACTAGTTTTCTCAGCTGCCTGCAGTGAACTAAAGGAGTTACGGAGAATCGACCTAAATAAATTGCGCTAGCGCAGTATTAACTTGGTTTAGGCCGCGGAGTCCGTCTTGTAGTGTACAAATAAGTCTTTGGTAAATTATTGGCCTTCCTTGGGTGGTGTGTGTGAAGTGAATGGTGGGTGGTGGGGTACCTGTGCAAACGGGGAAGGGCCGCGCCCAGTCGGCGGCCGGCAGGCAGACGGTCTCGGGCGCGCCGCGCAGCGCCCAGCCGGCGGGGCACGAAAAGGCGGCGCGCCCGCCCACGCCCCGCGACACCACCGACACGCGCGGCCGCCGCTCGCCCACGCCCAGCGGCCCGTCCAGCACCACCTCGCCGCACTCCACGCCTGGTCGACGAAATATCGGAGGATCATACACAAACACACATACGCGCCCGCGCTCCACATCTACACGAAGGACGCATATTGGAGTTTATCCAATTATTACACACGCTCACACTCCAGCATCACCTCGCCGCGCTCTACGTTTGGGTGAAAGTTGAAGAGAATATTAGAGATTACTCCGTTATCATACGTGATACACACACACACACACACACACACACACACACACACACACACACACACACACACACACACACACACACACACACACACACAGCACACACACGCACGCATTTTGCCGCACTCTACTGAAAAGCAGATTGTTTAGTTATTGTATGTTCACACAGTATATACGTATCCGTATACTGCAAATATAATTTCTCAAGGTATTTAATTCAGTCTTACTTTTAATGTTCTTTTAAAGAACACTATTCATTGTTTTGATAATAAGTATATTATACATACCCAACGGGCACGTACTCTCAGCTTAGTGGATACAGCTCCGAGTGGAGAATTCTTATTTTTTTTTAAATAAAATTATCCCCTTATTTCATTAGACTATTTTCTCCAAGCCTTTGGTCATTACTGAAAATTGGCATTGTGGTTTTGCCGCAACTCATGCTAAGTAAAATGTTTCTTTCTTCGTAATTAATTTCATACATTACATAACCGCCAGTCAAAAGTTACATATACTATTAAAATTCCAATTAGACCTAAGTTTCTAATACTTTTTTATACACTTACTTTCACAAACTGGCAGCGGAGCGCTCCAGTTGCCAGAAGCACGACAGGTCAGGACGTGAGCACCGAGCAAAGCATTTCCATTTGCGCACGAAAATCTGATCTCGGTTCCCAAACGAGTGCTGAGGTCACTGGCGACCAAGCCCCTTCTGATTGGTAATGGCGGACAGTGAACGTCTGCAAAAATCGATTATACTTATACTTCGTCAAAAATAATTATACTTCGTGTAAAACACTTGCTACATTTTATAAAATTAGTGAAATGGCTTCTCTATCATTGTTGTAAATGTAAATCACTTACATTATATGAGAAAGATTAATGGTCCGAAAATAGAGCCTAGTGGAACCCAGTTACAATCAGAGTTTTTGTGATTGCAAGGCTGTTTTGTTTAAAAGTGTTGTAAGAATTATCATTTCTTATTATCATAAAGTCGTTTCCTAATCAAGGTCACATATGTATTAGAATCGGGAGCCTTCGGCACATGTCAGACATGTAAATTAAGCATCTGAGAACGATTTATTGAAAAATTATTGAAGAAAATCATATCCATAAGCCTGGTAAACTTGATTAATCTAGTAAATAAATAAGTAAATTAAATATATTTATGCACTATGGTAAGATCAGGTCCTTTGTATTTGAAGTAGAATTTGAAATTTTGGTATTTTAAAAAATAACGGTTATTTCAAATAATCTCAAAGACTTATTCCATTTAGGAAAGAAAGGAAGAGGTGAAAAAACGCAGTGTTTTTAGTAATGTCAATTTAACCTGTTTAAAAATATCTTTAAACCTTTGAAAACCTACTTTTTTAGGGAAAATCGACATACTTAATAGTAATAAAAATATTTTATTTGATGACTGCTTATTTAGTTTTTTTGTTCATAAACCTAGAGACGATAAATAAGATGTCTAATTTCAAAAATGTTTCATATCGCTCGCTTTGCCTCCCTCCAGGCATGTACAACACAAATATAACATATTATAAACAAATTCTCATGCACACTACAATAGCAGCAGTAAGCGACGCTCGGGCGTATTCTATGAATCGTGGGCTATCTGCGGGTTGAGTACATTAAAGACAAGCAAAGAGATTTAATAGATATAAACTATACATACTTAAATGTCTTTGACGACAAGTGACATAATTATTTAATTTGTTTGTGTTTATTTGCAATTTTATTACACTTATTACATAGTGTGTATACCTTATAGAAGTAAGCTGTTATTTGTATATGTAAATATCTACCTATCTATATCTGCCTAAGGTAAATGCTAGTTATTACGATGAGTAGATATTAAGTATTATGTAAGTATTAGGTTCATTCTAATTTATACCTTTATTTTGTACCTTTTAGAATGGAAGATAAAGTTTATCAACAAAACGAAAAAAAATTCTATGACACAAAAATCAGTGCCAATTATGTTTTTAAGAAAAAGAAAGAAGAGTTTTGGCTCTTTTGCAAAAAAAAAAAACGAAGACGAAATAAAAGAATTAGAATTGGCTAGTAAAGGTCAAAGAAACAATGATTTGTGGCACACTGAACGGAAAAAAAGGCTAACTGCATATAAATTAGGAAAAATTGCAAACTGCGCCCAAATAATTCGTGTTTGTCGACACTAAAAGAGTTACTGTATACTCATTTCAAAGGAAATACGGCAACCGAATATGGAAACCATCACGAATCGGAGGCCATACGAGAATTTTCCATAACTACCTATCTAAAAGTTTCGGTGTGTGGACTGTTTATTGATTAATTAATATTATTTAGAGGCAAATCTCGATGTATTTATCGGAGATGACTCTCTAATTTAAGTCAAATGTCCTATTTCTGCTTTTAATATGCCGCCTGTGGAGGCCATAACTGAAAAAATATCAAATTTTGTTTGATACGAGGACAGATGATTTTAAAAGAAATCATGATTACTATTATCAGGTCCAGGAAAAATTACATATCGGTAGGCAATTTTGTTTTTTAGTAGTATGGACGCCATATGTATTGGCGTATGAAAAAATTAGGTACTGTTGTGCGCCTAAGTTGACGTCTAGTTAATTTTGGTAATTCTATCGGCAATTTTTACTGTCACGAACCTCAAGCTCGTAACAGTACGATGACCACTTTTGGACAGAAAAAATGCAGCCAAAACATAACTCATCTTATTTTCAGTGTTTATTACCAAAACTGATTGACCCTCGAGTATCTAGAAATATGACAGTTCGAGAAGTAGTGTAATAACGTAATATGTAGTAACAAAAAATAGTTTCCACAAGTTGTTACTTTTTATTTATTCACCTACCTAATTAAGTGTAATCTTGAATAATTTTTAAGTTACGGTCCTTATTCAATAAAGACTCTAAAATAAAAAGACTATATACTACCTAATCAATGAAGTTATTCACAGATATTAATTTTTTTCATAAGAAATATTTTTTGTGTAGGTTTTCGATATTACTTGCATCTCCATAGGCTATAATAATATCTCTTTTTAATTTTTATTTTTTTTTACGTTAAACACACTAGGATTTTCTCCGGTATAGTGGAGGCAGTTTACATACATAAATTGCACAAGGACAAACATTCAAGCCCGGAACAATTAATTGTAGGCCATACATATACTTGTATCGTGCGGGATTCGAACCCGCGGCCCTCAGCGCTAAAACTCATTGCTAAGCTACTGCGTCTCGTAGCCGTCAAATCTATACATATAATTATGTAAATCGATAAAATCTCCGACATATATTAACAACAAACTACAACAGCAGTATGCCCCTACCTCCCGACCCGTATCGTGCGAGAGAGAGAGAGTTGCAAGTCTTGGAAGCAATGAAAGAAATGTAGGCAATTTCTCTATTGAATTATTGTTTCAGCCGATAACATTGTTATCCCCCTAAACTTTTACGAAATGAGATAATTTTGATCTCATTAGATTCAGTACACCTTAGTCTAGGTCTGTACGGTTTTTTTTAGTAAATCAGTTTAGTTTAATTAAGAAAAACAAAAACGCTCGAGGAAGTTTTAAAGTCAAAAATATAGATATTTATTTGCTGATAACTTATATCATACATATTATTTCTTCAAAATTAAAACGTACGGACCTAGTTTTTGTATTATCTACAACATTTCCAAAAATTATGAAATTTAGACTATGTTTATGGGTGGGAAAATGTTATCGCTTTTTGTATGAAAATTTACAGCTCCACAATTCTCTTAACCTGTTTGCTCGCTACGCGAATGGCGGGAATTGCAAATTTTTTGCTAACTTGCTAATTTTGCTATATTTTCACTTTGAGACAATATTTATGGATAAAACTTACAGGAATTCTTGTTGAATGTATAAACTATCGAATAAAATTATTTTTGGTTGCTAGAAATTGTAATAAAATTCATAAATTACCCTTTATAGCATAATAGTAGTATATACTTCACTTTTAGTGCCAAAATTACTACTAATTTGAATTCTACACTTTTGTTTTTGGAGAAATTTATATGAAAATGTTTGGAAATATGTATATTTTTATGTTTTAACCTGTTTGCTGTTCTTTCTGAGCTAGCGGGTGAATGTGTAGTGGCGGTGTAAGAATATCCATACGCCATATAATTCCGTGGGTAATGTAAGAGGAGACAGAGGGAGACAAATTTGGAGATGGCTGCAGCGTCTTAATAATATCGAGTTAAAATCAAAAAAGACAGTTTGCTACCCGCCAACCTAGCGTGGCCTGGTTTCAGCAGTGACAAGGCTGTAATGAATTATGAGCGTTACCTTCAACAATTATTTCCACCTGGTGGCTCTGTCTGGCTGGTGTCTCGCACCGGTAGATACCAGAGTCTTCTTTAACCGCTCCTATTATGCTGATACGATACTCCAGTTGGCTGTCGCGTCCAGGATCAGTTGTCCAACCTTCTTGATATTTTCTTTCGGGGCTTTAAAAGGATATTTTGTTAATTTTTTGAAAACGTTGTACTCGTATACAGTTTAAATGCCGATTTGATATACAAAAATGTTTTCGGAGGCTAATTACTAGCAATTTTTGACATTATGATAATTGAGTACGGTTGTTTATTTCATAAAACTTCCCAAAATAAGTAAAAATTGCAAAAATGGGGTAATAATAATTTGCATTATTTAAAACAAATGTAATATGAGATAGTTTTTATAGTTTTTTTAATAATATATTTTTGTACCAATAGTTGCTTAATGGTAGATGGTGTGAAATTCAACCTTGAAACGTCGCGAATACCCTATGCTTCCCGATTTTATTTTACGCTTACGTAGACCGTAGATGATCATACTGCCATCTATTGGTAGCCATGAAATCTTCCTGGCTTTCATTGTCACCTCCGACGACGTCCACAAGATGTACCACTACCACATGGTTTCATCTATATACAAAGCACATAAAGTCATGGGTTCGAATCCGCCACTCGACTAGTCATTAAACAAAACTAAATTTACAATTCAGTACTTTACAGCGCCCGAAATATCGGGTATAAAAAGTTAAAATTAAACTAAATACAAATTTTTTTTCAACGTGTAGTATCCACGTGAATTTAAGTAAACATCATCCGGCTACTGTCATGAAATTCCTATTCATTCCAATTCCTAGCACAAGCGTTTTAAGCTTATTTGGAGTGGTTAACGGGAATATTACCGGCTTGAATAGCGTTACTATTATTCTTCTATTAAAATTAGATTAAAAATATAACCAATTCTAAAGTCACTCACTCTGGGTAGTGGTGGGTAACATTCCACTTTGGATTGCCGAACCTTCGCATCCAAAGGCACTCCATGTGCAGAACGGTTCCTGGATACACCAGCAGCTTACCATCATTCGTCTGCGCGATTGGGCCCTGCGAGTGCCTGAATAAAATTGTCGGAGGCTTTTCCACTGTAAGTAAGATTTCTTTTTATTAAGAAGTTTTGATTAAAATGTTCACATAGTTTTGTGACTTAGTTCACTTTAATGTCAACACACAGTCTATTTAGTATCCTATTCAGTCTGATGTATTTTTTACACAATACAGACAATAAGGGTGACAAACGAGCACACAGTCCACCTGATGGGAAGTGGATGCTGTGGTCCATAGACGTCTACATTTAACCTCGATTAAGAATCAAAATGCAGCTGCGTTGTCATTCTTGAGGACTAATATGGAATGCCTCGATTCCAGTAAAACTGGTCTCCGGTTCTCTACACTCACCATACGAAACACAGCAGCATTCAGCTGCTATTTTATGCTTGGTATTTGAGAACGTGGACCTTCCCCGCTCGAGCCGACCCATTCATGCTACAACCATAATAGCTGCAGCGCGGCTATACCACTTAAAAAGTGTAGTTAACTGTGTAACAAACATTATCGTAAGCTGTTATTTAAAAAAAAGGCCCGCTTTGTTTCTTGCTGGTTCTTCCCAGGACAGAGGTTTTTTCCCAAACCAGTGGTATTTAAACAAAAGAGTGACTTTCAATAAGTATTAATTATAATCTATATTGAAATAAAAAAAATCGAACAGTTCAATCACTAAAGCTATGACAATGTAAGCGGAGTGAAGAACGAACAAAAAAGGTAACTAGCTACAGAAGCCCTTGGACACCTGCAATAAGTAAAGAAGTCCACACCCTTGAGGACTAAAACTGGAGTCACGCTGTATCTATACCATAGTTGCAACTATGGTATAGATACAGCGTGACTCCAGTTTTGTGCACAAAAGGTTCGGATCGACCAGAAAAGGCCACGCTCTTCCAGAATATCAGTGAAAAATGGCAGTTTAATGCTGCTGTGTTTCGTATATTGAGTGAGGAGAATCGAAGACTTGCACTAACGAAACGAAGCAGCCTATCTTAGACCGCAGTGACAAAATGCAGATTCGAATTTGCATTTTGATTTTTAATCGAAGATAAATATAAGTGTCTGCATCAAGCGGCCTGTGTGCCCGTTTATCAACCTTATTCTATATAAAAAACGAAAACTTATACTTTATTTTAAACAGGTGAATCAGCGAGCTTGGACTCAAAGCCTGTTATTGCTTCACATTATCAGTTTCTGGGACAAGAATTTGGTTTATTTGGATGAATTTTCTGCCATTAGTCGATCAACAGAGCCCATCAGTCCTTCAAAAACTTCATATATAGGTTACACGTGCAAAACAGTAATTGTAAAATCACTGTCATCATTACAACCCTCCACAAGTCCTTGGCTAGGCATAAACTTCCCTTAAAGAACGGTACAAGTGTTGGTCCTGAGACACCTGCATACATCGACTTCCCGCATGTTTTACTAGGTCGTCACTTCATCAATTGGGGACACTTTACTTACCGGTACAAGGTAGCCACTCGCGAACCTATCTTCCCTGATCGTGTTCACGTTCTTAAAGCTATATGACTTTTACTGGGTGACTTTTTTACCGTCTGGAAAATAATGCTTTAAATGGTGCTTTATGTAAGTGGAATAAAAGCTATCCTCGAAAGTATTTGTTAAATATAACTGATAATGCAAAATTTCCAAATATACAAAAAAAAAAAACATAAAAACAATTCATCCTACGTTATTTGCGTAAAACTAAAAATAGGTGATATTATTTTAAACAGTGCGGCTAATGGGTGCCATACATTTTCAGTTTTATCTATGCAATAAAACTGTGCAGTCGAATTGTAATGATAAATCGTATGTCACTATAGCCCACACATGTTCAAGTAAAACTGGGCAGTTTAATCATTTTGTTCCGTAATGGTATCGACAGACGACGCATTAGGTATTGTTGCCTTATTGTTGATAAAAATTTAGGAGGCAGAAAAAAGTCAGAAGGCGGAAAAATCGTAGGACCTGGTGTGAAGATTGGCTAGTGAAAAGAGAAGCTTCTCCTCATGCAAATTTGTTAAAGGAATTAAAGACGTTTCCAAGAGACTGGCATAATTTTTTAAAAACCGATAGTGATGTGTCCTTTTTTGCTGTGTATAGTAACGCCAATAATCGAAAAAACAAAATACTTTTATGAGACATACCGAAAACTGAGCGCTTGGCACTCACCTTACGATTATCGGCACAGTTTCCTTCGATTCCGTTTTATCTATTCAAATTTTCTTGCTACTCCATTTGACGGTACAGTTTTAAATAAGTCGTAAAAATTGTACAGTTTTTATCACACATACGTTTCGATTGTCGGTGCAGTTTAAACGGTACAGTGCGATCGTAACAATTTCTCTTAGCGTGTATTTTCACCCATTAGGCTACGATCGCTACTGAATGAAAGTTGCAAGCGCGAGTGAGACGTATGCATATTTTTTTCGTTAGGCATTAATCGTCGTTATGTAGGCACCAGGCGGCTGAGTGGTGGTGGCCGACACATCATTGCACCAACATTTAGAATCAGGCGTATTTAAAAAAACCTAAAAAAAATCTAGCTACAATACTTGCCTTTGTAATGCTTGTAGTTAGTGTTTTTGATACGACGCCACTTACGAATGGAGATTACTGACGGCCAGCTGGAATGACGTTACGATACGTTGACTAAAACGGCAGACAATGTCTAGACTGATTACAGAATGAATAGTTAGTTTCACTTTTATACGACAAAGTTTTTAATCACAATGCAAAAGCACTATTGAATGTTGTGGTATTAAAGACAACGCGCTGCATTTGTTCGTTTTGTAATGCATGACACTTAAAATTCAGCATTATCAGCCGCATTGTAGAAGTAGAAGGCAAAAAGCTGATATTTTACATGACATGCATTACGAATAGCCGTTTAATAATACGTCTTATTTCTTATTTGGCTGCGACCGAATACAGCCGAAGCTTTTCTCGCCGGAACCGAAAACGTTTCGTTTCTGATTATTATTTTTGTGATTTCGATCTTATCTTCATACTTTTACGGACTTAGGACCGTCCAATATGCTGTAGTTGAGTAGAAGTACATGTTAAAATTTATCTTGCATTACAATGAATACATAAACAGTTTTAATAATAATTTTTATGCTTACCGCAACTGCCTACTACAACATCTTAGACCTATTCAAAAGATTGGAATCAACCTAATTACAAACTACACTGATATTACAAAATTATACTACATTTTTGTTAATTACCAAAAAAATAACATTTTTAGTCTACCGTTATAGCACGTCTCAGTAAATTGTTTGTTAAACTTCGAAGCGGGTCTATCACTTTTTTCTATTATACGCTGATTTAAATCACTAACACTGTGCTTCTTCTATGTACACAAATCGTTTTGATTCGACCCAAAAATAAAACTCTAGAGGTGTTAAGTCTGGTGATTTCACGCGCCAGTTCACATGTTCATCGCGGGTTATCCATTTATCACCATTTAAAACCAAAGCGTACAAATCGTTGGTAATGAGCTGGATATCCGTCGTGCATTCCTTGCAGATGGCTCAGAGGAATGTTTTCCAACATTGTGTCGATGACGGAACGTATCATTCGCAAATAAATTATTCCCGTTGACCTTCAACCCATATTGGACCAATGATGTAGTCGTTAATGATTGCCTCCCAAACGTTAACACAGAAATGAACTTGATGAGCATGTTCTTTGATTTTTTTTGGAAACTCCACCAGTGCTGAAGTTGCACATTGTAAATTACAACGCGGGTAAATATTGACTCGTCGCAATGTCTATATTTTCACCAGACAAGAAATAAATCTCAACATTGCTAGCTACTCGATTTTAGAGTTTTGGTGCATGTTTATGATAATTATCGTGTGTATCGGGTGGCCGGTACACAATCGGAAACATAAACAATATCACAGGTGACTGAAATAAAATGAAAGAACCTTTGTCCTTGTCCTTTGTTTGGTGCAGCGAGTGCGTTACAAATTCATTGTTTTATTACCGTTCTTAAAGTAAGGTGGCTATGATTTGAATTTCGTTGGTAATTTATTTATTAATTTAGTTCAAAATTTTTGTTTTTAATTGCTTAGTACCGAAAGTTTATTTCAAATTAGTAGTATTTGTTAATAGATCAATTTTATAATATGTTTTGTCAAAAAACTGTAAAATATCAGTTCCATAAACTTCTATTACGTTCACCTGTTACACCCTATTTTTTTCCAGATGGTAAAAAAGAATAATCTAGTATAATCAGGGAATACTACACTTCAACTAACTTGCATAATCATTTTCTTGGTTAAGTCCGAAGCATGTCGGTTTAACACCATCCCATGAGCCTCCGATACATTTGCGGGTCTGAGATCCTGTCATAGCGTACTTCCCAATGTCACTGCATCTAAGAAACAAACGATACCCGTTTTAGAATATCCAAAGAAAGAAAGAATATTAGAATATCAAAAGATATCAAGATTTTTTTAAGTTTTCAAAAAAAACCCATGACGATATAAATCCCCAACTTATTTTTCATAATTACATTATCTTATACACTTATCGCGTCCGATGACAATCAAAACGGTGAATAAATCTATATACTATTCAGATTCCTTAAGCTAGCATCAATTAATTTTGAAATATAAAAATGAATTTGAATTTGTGATATAAAAGAAGCCTCTTCAAGAAATTTATTCAAACGTGAGGTTAAGGCAAGATAAATAACTGCAGCTGCCAACTCGCTTGTTAAGCGTGGCAGATATGGCAAACATCCCCCCTGTGAGGTAATCTAATGGGGCCTATGTTCAACAGAAAACAGGCTATAACAGTAACCAATTCTGTTTAAATGTAACAAAAAAAAATTGAATGAATATGAAAACATAATAGTGATAGTAATTAAAGAGCAAATAGCGCTTTAGGCCACTGGTCGAACTATCACGGTACAAAAATTTGTATGAACTACAAATAATTGTTCCGAGTCTGGATGATTGTTCTTGAGAAATTAATGTATGTGAACTGCATCTACGATACAGGAGTAAATCCTAGTGCTACCGTTGCATAAAACAGAAAGAAAGAAAGGATGAGGTAGTGTTTGAAAATTTTATAAAATTATAAACTTGTTTACTGCTGTATAAATATTAGAATCCAATTATATATTAGTATCAAATAGGTAATACCTGGAAATGATTACAGCTCCAGGTGGAAAGTCAACCGTCTCAGTTATTTCCAAGTCATTATAGAACGATACAACGTGCGGTTCTTCATTTCTAAAGGTGCAACTGTTGTTGTTAAGGAGTTCTTCACTTTGTGCTTCTAATTCCTCTGGAACATAAACGTCGTCCATTGTACATCCTTAGCTTAAGATATTTTTAATTTATATTATATAATTTTTGACAAAATAAAAAAAAACATTTGGCTTTTAATAAAAAGTAAAAGCCGATTTAAAAAGAACTATAATGAATTAAATTTCACATTCTGAACATCGTTGTAAAGAAATAGTGAATAGAGGATTAGTTAAGGCCCCGACTTCGGATGTGATATTATTTTATTCTTGTTGGTTCCTTGAAGCGTATAAAAGTACACTGTCAAACCTAGATGAAGTTTTTAAAAGCACTTTAAGATGACATTGATATTCTGACATTACTTGGTCCCTAAGGAGCAAGACTTTAGATAGAGGATAGATGGAGTAGACTAAGGCATATTGTAATCTCAGTGTTGTCTCCATCCATCCATTAAAGTCTATAAAAATCCACTGCTGAACCTACGTTCAGGCCATAGGTTGCAAATACCGAGGAATACGAAAACAGTTGTAAATACAAATACTCAAATAAAAAAAAAACTACGATTGACAAACCGCTTGCCAAGCAACACGACGCATCTACAGAAATATCTCCCCTCTTTAAGACAATCCATGGTGGATGCCTATGTTCAGCAGTGGTCTATTAGTAAGTGATAACTGTAAATGTAGCAATTTTTCTATGTTTTGCGGTCCAGTACTGTGCAGAAAATATATAGAACTATACTATACAGAGCTACTATTGCAGAAGTTTTTGCAAACATTTTCGAGGAATTAGTGATTTTTCAAATCCGATATGACTTTGCGACAATAAGAGCCTACTCATTTTTCAAAGGCCAGCACGGCAATACACTTGTGATTTTTCTGGTGTTGTAGTTGAGTCACATGCTCATAAGAGATATCTTTTCTATGAAATAACATTTTAATTTGAACACTTACCACAGTTAAAACTCTTGCCAACCCAGTCGCCGTGCTCGCAAATCAACTTCCAAGTGGTCTTCTCACCCATAATAGAGGCTATACATTTAAATGTAATTTCTGTACCGTGAGGATAGCCTTCCATTCCTAGTGATCCATCTACTTCAGTGCCATCGCGGTAAATTAGTGTTCCTTGTACCCTATATTATAATATTTTAAGTAATGATTTAGGTAATTTTTTCAGATGTCTTAAATATTGAAAATTCTGGAGCTATATTTAATCATAATCACTTGAATATTAGAAAGTACCTAGATTAAAAATAATATGATTTCATCATGGAATATGATGCCTCTTTCCATGAAAACACGCATTTAAATAACAACATGCACTAGACGGATACGAATTTTGCAAAAAAGAGCAAAAAATACAAGCCCGGCCAAGACATAAAAAGTAAAAAAGCCAAATATACAGCCATTAGTATAGCTGTTTATAGACGTAAGTAATGAATTGTTTTACTTTTAATATTAAATACATTAACAGTTAACTAAGCCCTGCCGTCTGAGGATTTCTATAGATCTTTATAATAATCATGAGTAAGATAAAACTTTACAACAGAATGTAGAATTACTAACAATTGTTCAATGAAATGAAGGATCTGACGAAGGAATTATCAAATATGATCATTGCTTTTTATATGTAGATGGTTTAGGTGAAGAGATGCGGCTATCGATGACGATGATCAGAAATATGAAGAACAAGTTAAGTAAAATTTCGAACCTAGAAGGCTCTCACCAGGGCTTGGCATCCCTGAACGCCTGGGTTCCCTTCAGTCTTTCCAGCCAGCAAATAAGAAACGCAGACTCTTTGCAAAAATATTATTTTTTGTCGTTTTCCATCACATTTGGTATTGGATGAAGTAAAGTTAAGAAGCAAGTTGTATCCAATTATTATTTAGACAAAGAAACAGGTGGTAAAAAATTTTGCATAACCGACTTGAATATAAAAAAAAATGAGAACGTCATTAGTGTAGTTGAAGTCAATTAAATACATACTATTAAGGATACCTCAAAAACTACTGATTAGAAATCAAATTTATATGAGACCACGAGAAACTTATACAGTCGAATTGAGAACCTCCTCCTTTGAAGTCATTTGAGAAGGAGACAAATTGCTTCTTCACTTTTGAATTATAAATTAAGCAAATTATATAACATAATTATAAAGTAATGCGTCAGAAGCATGAAACTGATGGAACAATTTTAATAGATAGGGATCCTATAAAACACAGAATAGACGATGAATCAGATTTGTAAGTTTTTATTACACAACGGAAAAGTTTATGCGATGTAAAGGGAACTTAAATAAAAAAAAAAATGAACACCAAAGCTACAATGAAAGCACAGTTATAATGAAAGAAACATATTTATTGAGTTATTAAATCAATTCTGCCAATTCGTTTGGTTAAAAAAATATTGTAAATCGTTTCCTGAGTTAAGCATCATTGTTTTAAAAAATTACTATCTAGATCTAATATGTTTATAAAAATAGCAGATAAGATTCAATTTCAGATAAAAAATAATTTCCAATCATTATTTTAATTAAAACTTTTATCATTAGGATGTATATCGGAAAATTCTTTACCTAGCCGGTGGACCGCATTCCAGGACAGGTTTCCCGTGTAGATCTGGTTCTAATTCTGATATATCCTCCCTAACGATGTCGGAGCCACTTTGATATTCGGATGTCGGTCTTGGTCGAGTTAGGTTCGCTGCAAATGGTTAATACGAATCTTTTTTAAATACGGTGCTATGCTTTGTTATTGCTCCGCCATCTAGTTATATTTTTTCATTAACAGTCTACTACTGAACTACTGTATAGGTTTGTCTATAGATTTTCATGAAGGCAGAATATTTGCCTTAGTTACCACGCTTGGCAACCCCAATTTTGTTATTATAATCCAGTTGTTATCAGAAAGATGCTCTTGATCATCTCCTATCTCATCTTCCCTCTGTGGTCTCTTACCATTCCCACGGGCTAATGTGGGATAGTGATATTCTTACACCACACTATAATCCCACTGGTATCATAAAATAAATTCTGATCTCTAATTTACTAACTTACCTAGAGGTCTACAGAAGTCGTGAACAGTGGGCTGTAGTCTTCCTAAATGGCAGTTTAAAGTCGCTGGTGGGGATCTTCCGGGTTCACATGCAATATCCACTGAAGACGCGTGAGCGACTGTGAGACCGGCTCTGTAGCCAGCTTCGTAAGTAGCGCCATGGAGGATGGGAAGTTCACAGGGAGCTATGTAGAAAAAATATTAATTTTGTATCATCATCATTTTCATTACGGCCCTTGACAAGTCCATAGCTGAATATAGGCCTGCCCCAGGGAACAATTATTATTATTATTAAATATTGTATGTTTACTTTTAAAAGCCCTGGTAGCTCAAGGGCTAAGCGTTCTTCAACCTGGATTCGTATTTGGTATGGCCACCAATGAAATTGTTGAATGCAATATTAAGTGCTCATTGACCACGTGATTGACAGTGAAGGAAAACATCTCGAGGTGCCTATATATTATCTGAGAAATAATTTCTTACGTTTTCGCGAACACTACACATTTAGATAAAACTAACTTTTACGGATTATATCGCGTATATTAACTTATTTTATATTCGTGACGTTTCGTGCACTTTACATCAACCATGGTTACGGGGGGGACTGAGGTGTTCAAGGTCCCAATGTCATGGTTAACCACAGCTGCCTCTAGATTAAAATTTAAAGAAAATTGATAATTAAATTATTAATTTTAATCTGGAGGTAGCCGTGGTTAACTACGACGTTGGGACGTGGAACACCTCAGTCCCCGCCGCCCGTGATCATAGGTGCTATTAAAGTTCTCGAAACGTCACGAATATAAAATAAGTTAATATACGCGATATTATCCGTAAAAAATAGTTTTATTTAAATTGTCAGAGAAATGTAATATTTTGAGTACATTGAGAGTAGCGTGATAGACTGTTTGATCCACAACTTTCTCAGAAGTGAGGCCTGTGGCCAACACTCGAATGAACTTTACTTGACTTCTGTATTTATTAGTATGTGTATTACCACCTCAATTACGCCAGCAAACAGCAGTGCATCCATTGGCGAGTAACGGTTTCAAGAGTGGGAGAGCAAGTGAGTGAGGGAGAGAGAGAGAGAGAGAGAGATAGAGAGAGAGAGAGAGAGTTGTTTTTTAGATGGTAGAGCCACGGTGCAGCTACATTATGGTTGTAGTACGAATGGGTCGGCTTGACCGTGGCAGGACTACGCTCTCACAGAATACCAGCGTAAAATAGTAGCGTATTGCTGCTGTGTTTTGTATGGTGGGTGTAGAGAATCAGAGACCCTTTTTTACTAGAAACGACGCATTTCATCTTTATCCTCAGGGGTGACATCACATCTTCATTTTGATTCTTAATTGAAGAAATAAAATAGCAGTTTTATGCTGTTGTTCCGTATGGTGAGTGTAGAGAATCAAAGCAGGGAGAAAAATAGGGTCTCCTTTTTACTGGTTACGAGGCATTCTATCTTAGTTCTCAGGGGTAACAACGCAACTGCATTTTTGATTTTTAGTCGATGATAGAACTTGATATCTATAGGCCACAGTATCCACTTACAATCAGGACTTTTTATAGAATAAGAGTGACAAACGAGCACTCAGTCTACCCGATGGTAAGTGGATGCTGTGGTCCATAGACGTTGTCATCCCTGAGGACTAAGATGAAATGCTTCGTTTCCAGTAAACAAAGGGTCTCCGCATCTCTACACTCACCATACAAAACACAGCAGTATTGAGCTGCTACTTTACGCTGGTATTCTGTGAGAACGTGTTCCTTCCCCGGTCGAGCCGATCCACTCGTGCTACAGCCATAATATAGCTGCAGCATGGCTCTACTGTTACAACGTAAGTTGATAGTAAGTTCACTTATCACTTGTATGTTATAAAAAATGTTTTCATATGGCAGGGTATAATTAGATAATTGTCGAGGCGCCTGTTAAAGAAAATTAGCAAAAGTATGTGTATCTTCGAAGTGACATTGGTGACAGAACAGTATGCGACATTACAATTATAAAGCCGACTATACATGTTGGGCAAGCATCAGACAACGCGAGCGTAGGCAAATTGATAAAAGGGAGTGCTAGAGTCTACATGTTGACCAAGTTTGACCGTTTGATCATATTGACATGGCTAACTAACATGTGGACACGAATTGACGAGTGCAGGCAAATGCTTTTGATTTGCGCAGAAAAACCGACACTGTTTCGAAGTGAGACGAGTCGTGGCGAGCGATCCCGATTGGTGCCGAGCGAACCGTGTACACGTTGGCGCTCGCCTGCACTGACCAGCTAGGCGAGCGGAGACGAGCGAGGACGAACAATGGCGAGGCTATACAAATGGGCTATACGTTGGTACTCGTCTTCACTCGGCCAACATGTATAGCCGGCATAACATTCGCTTGTAACGTAGCGTACTATAATCATTGACTTATATATTACTAGCGTAAGTAATATATAAGTCAATGACTATAATAGCAATAGCAGTATTGTCAATATAGAAAATTGAAATAATTAGCATGTCACATGTTTTATTTGCCACCGGATGTTAACTAAAGTCACCGAGTAATTTAATTTAGTGGTCATGATTGCTGTTCGTTTGAAAATTCCGGGTCCGAATGAAGCAAACATTATTCGTATTGAATCTTGATATATTGCTATACAGTAAATCTTTGTATATATATTAAAATCTTTGGTTCGGCTGTAAATGCAGGTAACTTGCGAACGACTTCACCGATGGAGGTCATATTCGTTTTGTCAACACAATGGTTCTACCTAGGATCTGACAGATGGCGCTGTAGCTAAGTTATAAATGAATACTGTATTCGTAAACGAAAATAACAATCACAACATATGAGGTATGAAGTGTAGAGGTAAGGAGTACAGACTCTGGATAAAAAAGTGTCCGTAGAAAAGCGTTAAATAAGGGTGGCGCCACTGTAGCTACAGTCTAAATTTTAAAGGACTTTTTATATATATTTTTGCACATACTTACACCGTAATTCTTTTTACAATAATTATTTTATTGTGAAATTTTTTATATATTTAAAAAAATATTTTCAAAATCACTCAACGTATTTTTAATACGGCGATTTATCGTACCCTGTAGCTACTCGAGCGCTGTTGTGGAGAGTTTTTGAACTGTTATTTACTGCTTACAGGTGGACACATTTTCAACTGTTCTCCTATGGAGATCGTCCTCCTTACCTCCATACTCCACGATACGATATGATGGTTTAATGTCAAAAAAGACAACTACAAGTTTTGGACTCGATAGGTGGCTCTGTGGTCAAGTTATCAATTAATTTTATATTAACACTGCAAAGTCCGGAGTGAACTCGGAGTGAAACTACGGGAGTGCCGGGCCAGTAGTATGTATTAAAGTCCAAAATTTCTTAAACCTACCTGCAACACATTCTGGCATACTGGTAACCGCCCATTCACCCAGCCAACATCGAAGATTTGTTGGACCTTGTACGTTGTACCTGAATATGAGTTTAATTAGCATTTACTCTGAATCTTAAGTAATCGTGTAATGGCGTAATGGCGGTGTAAGAATATCTAGTCCCCAATATTATCCCGTGGGTGTTGTAAGAGGCGACAGAAGAAAACAAACCAGGAGATAGCAGCAGCGTCTTCATATAATAATAACTAAATTCTTTATAAAAAAATTGCTTAAAATATTTACTAAAAGAGAATAGATAAGAATATCAAAATACTTTTTTTTCTTTTCACATTAAGTTTTTAAGATTACGAGCCAAATTTTGGTACATTATTTTTGACTATATAACCTTGAATTTTATTAAAGGAAAATACGATAACATGTAATTTTCTTGATAGAAAAAATTGCAAAGTAGGCTCTAATTAGTTACATTTCTCTATGACACCACAATATTTTTACGAATAAGTTCATGCAATTATTTTTAAGGCTTAGTTAATAATCATATCTAAGTTCTCATAAACCATTTTTCTTAATCCATAACAAAGTTTTGTTAAATAAAATAAAAATTTTGTTTGGCGCTTACTTAGTTTTTTCCGAGCGCCTGCTCGGTATAGCTATCTCATAATTTGCGTACTATGAAGTCATTGCATCACTTTTATTTTGACACTCCCTAAAGTCCGTGAGCTTCACCGATAGTGGGTTTAAGCCACGCTCTCAAAACTACGATTTATTTTCAAGGTATCTTTTAAAAACAAATCTAACGATACCGCATATGTTAAAATAACTCAATCCATTTAGGCTACAGAGCAAATCAAAGAAATAAACATACAATACATATCCTTTTAAGGTAGTCGGGTAAATAAAATAACATCCGATAAAAAATGAATTTCAATAATAGATTGTATAATACAAAAATAAATATAAACTAAATCTAAAAAATATATAATTTTATTACTTTAATATATGATTAATCTATTTAAATAATTTATTTCACTTACCCATATTCGCAAGAAAAATGTACGACTTGTCCATTTGGGACGGGATCTGTTTCGTTTAGTTCCTTTTCCTCTCCATGATTAAGACCTAAACCTATCTGGCTAACAGACTGACCATTCTCCGGCGCCATGGTATATATACCATACTCTGTAGTTGGCACGTGACATGGAACTGAAAACATGATTTATTCAAGCATATGTTTTTACAAATTTACACATATTTTTATTTTTTGTTATAACTATGGAGGGTAGAGGTACATACTGGTGATCTTTTTACCGTCTGGAAATAAATAGCGTGTAACATGTGATCAGAGTGGAAGGCTATGGCACTGATATTTTACAAAAAACAAAAATAGAAATTTTGAATTAAACCATTGAAAAAAATTTTGAACAATTACTTTGGCCTTTGACCTTTAGATTGAAAGTCAAAAATGCCTATTAAGTTTATTGTTTTATTGCCGTTCGTAAAAAAGGCTGGATATGATTTAAATTTCGATAGATTTTAATTAATTTATTTATTTAGTTCAAAATTTTTGTTTTTATTTTTTGTTAAATATCAGTCGCATAGACTTCCACTCCGTTTACATAGTATACCCTATTTTTTGCAAGACGTTAAAAAGGTCATCCAGTAGTCATAACTTATAAATATAATAATCATAACATTTTTTATGGTGCACCATACTTACAAATAATGCATTGTCACCTCTAAGGACTAACGTGGAATGCCCCAAAGCCTGTAATTAAACTATTTTCTTTTTCATTGAACGTAGAATGGAATGGAATAGACTAGAAACTTTTTTATACAATTTAGATTATAAATAGCACTCATTGAAAGCCAATTCAATCAATCAGTTTACCACTGGTTTGGAAAATAGCCTGGAAAGAACGAGAAAAAAAAATACGTGTGGCACTCGGGGACTGCCGCGGTAAAGCTATTGCATAATATTTTTGTCAACTTATGCAATTATAATTATTTATTTATGTAGTATTTTTTATTTGTTTTTTTTTCTTTGATATTAATTCAAGTTACAGCAGCTATTCTGTAATGGGTCGGTTCGACTGGGGAAGGACCCCGCTCTCACAGAATATCAATGTAAAATAGTAGCTTAATTATTATGAGTGTAGAGAACCAGAGACACTTTTTAAATGAAACGAGGCATTTCATCTTAGTCCTCACGGGTGACAACGCATCTGCATTTTGATTCGTAATCGAGGATAGATGTAGATGTCTATGGGCCAAAGCAACCACTTACCATCAGGTGAACTGTGTGCTCGTTTGTCACCCTATCCTATATAAAAAAAGCGTCGATTTCTTATAATTTAATCGTGCAAGTTTTCGAATCATCATCATCATTACAGCTCTTCACAAGTCCACTACTGAACATCTTCCTCCAAAGAAAGCCGCAAAGCATGGTCTTGAGCCACTTTCCTTGTCATGAGTTTTTCATTTATGTTCTAAGTTTATTATTATTAAGTACCTATTATTAAGTCAGTGTTAATTATATTTATTGCTACTGTTTTCAAAAATAATTAAATTACCAAATAAATTATAAGGTGTTTTTTATATACATCAAATGTCTGATAGAAAAGCAAGTACATGTTTTGCTAAACTTTAAAAACAAAACCCAATTTTAAAACATAGACTTATCGATTATAACTCCTTTAACTTTAAAATAAGTTTAGTTCTAATTAATGGTATTTATTCCAGTTTCTGATTCATGTAAAGAATAAATAAAGCTAATCGTATATCTATTTACAGCCCATTAATATTCACTATTCTTTTATAATTATTTTATAAAAACGTTACCCCCCACACTTGGATTTTCTCCTGTATCGCGGAGGCAACTTACAAACATAAATTGCACAAGGACACACATCCAGACCCGAAACAATTATTTGTAGGATATACAAATACTTGTTCCGTGCGGGATTCAAACCCGCGACTCCTGGCACAGTCACTCATTCCCAAGCCACTGCGCCACGGAGCCGTCGTCTAAAATAAAATAAATTCGTCCGCACATAAACGACGTTAGACAATGCACGGCCTTCAAGCCACACCTCCGTGCCCGTCGGAGTGGGGAGCGTGAGGTTTTTTCGTTACGGAATGAATTTCTGGATTCGGTCCCCACGCTCAAGGCCCGCGATAGAAGCTATGCAATAGCTTAAAACCCAACGAGACATTTAAAAAAAGGGACAGGTTACTCATTTTCACAGTTCTGTTTGTTACAGTTTATAAGTCACAGTGTGCTACGTATACAGGGTTATTTTTTAAACAGTAGCCAAATTTGCAGAGAATGTTCAGAATAAGTAATATAGGCGAATGGGGTAGAAAAATTAAGAAAAAAATCCCAAAAGTTCTGTCCTTTTTGTCTTTTAAATTCCGAATGCTCGGTAATGCATTGTTTTAACTGGTTTTTATTCATTAACATCTAACGCCTACTATTTTAATACGCACGCACACATTCGTAAGGTCTCTCGGTTGACAAAAAGATTGTGGATTGAAACGCAAACACAGTAACGCGCGTACGCGTAGTTGTTGTCTATAAATCATATTAAATTTGGGATTATTTCAAATAAAATTGGAAACCTTACTTATTCGTATTTTTAAAAACTGTAGTAACGGTATATTATTATCTATTCATTTGAACATAAATATAAAATTTGACTACTCTTTGAAAAATAATCCTGTATGTATTGTATTACATAACTAACATTATCCGTTACCACACTAGGGTTTCCTCCTGTATCGTGGAGGAGACATAATTGCACAAAGAAAAAAGTCCAGATCCAGTTGTTCCATGCGGGATTTGAATTTGAGGCCCTCAGCGGCGCAACTGCTAAACCACAGTTGACAGTTTTTTCTTCTGCTTAATTTTCAGTTTTCAGTGTAAGCACTGCTATTTTGAGGCAGAAATATGCTAGGCCATTGATTTAAAAAGAATACTGTATAAGTCGACGGCTAATAGTGTGGCACCTACCCAGATAAACTCCTCGGTAGTAAAACTGTCTTAATATCCAGTAAATACAAAATATTACATATTTCTAATACTATAATGAACAAAATCGCACTCACGGATTTCACATTTAGGCTTGTCCGGTTTCCATCTTCCTCGAACGCATTTCGCTGTAGCATTTGAATCTAAATTAAGGCCGTAACCTTTGCCACAAGCCACTCTAACTATTGTCCCTGAAAAGTTTAAAAAGCCTAAATTTTTAGTCTAACTTATTCAACATCATCAAAATTTAATTTTAATTGAAAAAAATAATTTTCAAAATGTATGTGGTTTTATTACCTTTGCATTGTCTGAAGAGTAAGAGGATTATCAAAGACAAAAGACACCCAAAAAAGTATTAGTAAGAGGTATTAAAACTACATACAATTTCTAAATAAAAATAATTAAATAGAACATTTTAAAAATCGATTCTGAAAAAAAAAATTATATACGTTTGAATACTGATTCTCATAAGCTCCAAACGCACTTAACGGGAATATAGGGTTTTTATTATATGTTTTATAGAATAATTTCTCTTTTATTTAACATACAGGTAAAGATAACAAAATGCTGATGATATCGAAATATAATATATTGACATTGAAGGAATAGTCTAATCTCATATATCTTATTATTAAAAATTTCCTTTTGATTCCTAATAAAATCATAAAAGGACTTGTGTTTTTGGCTTTATACTGTTTAAATGCAAATGTCAATGATAAATGTAAATCAATAGATACATAAACAACGTCCCATAAACAAGATATTTAGATTGCAGTAAATATAAAAAAAAAATAAGAAAAATAGTTAAAAAACATAAAGTTTAAGCCAGAATAAGAACATTAATGTTAGTGAGTTGACTTCTCCCGGTTTTGTCTGGGAAAGGACTTGCTCTTTTCTTACTTCCCAAATATCTCCTAATGCATTGAGATATGATTAAACCGCGAAGGTAACAGCTAAAGAGAATTCACTCAATTACAAGTCTATCATAAGGAGTAGTCTTTATTATAAACAACGTTAGAACATATTATTTAACATGTGACACAACCACTCTGCAGCTATATCATGGTTGCAACACGTGTGGGTCAGCTAACCGGGGAAGGACCATGCTCTCTCAGAATACAAACGTAAAGTAGCAGCTTTATTCTGTTGCGCTTTGTATGGTGTGTGTGGAGTGATCTCTATCCCATATATAGATCCAGTAATGAGGCACTTTTTAAGCCTCAGGGCTGACAATGCATCTACATTTTGATTAATAGTGAACCATGAGGTGAATTTGCGTTCGTTTGACACTATTTTTTTTTAAAAGATCGAATTATGCAAGCAGAAGTTAAGGTACTAAAATAAGTACCTACATCTTATAATTGGGGTATATATATTCATCATCATCATCATTATTATACAACTTCACTGCTGATGGTAGTTCTAGCTCAGAGAAAGCTACCTAACACGATTCCGAGCCATTTGCATCCATCGACTTCTTTCATGTCTTATATTCCCCTTACCAAAGCTGATGGCTGGAAGCATCACAGTTATTCTTGTTATAAGGTGAGCTTTATGTTTGTATATCTTACCTAGCTTATTATCAGAAATCAGTAAATCTCACAGTTACGCTACCAGCTCACAATTCGTTTCCAAGAAAACCTACTTATATTTTACTTCTACGTGATACAAGACACGAAGAAATAATTATAATAAAAAATTGCATGGAATATTAAAATTTCTCAAAATTTCTTCGCATATTTTTTTCATATACATAAACAGTTTGCAGAATACCAAGCTAACGTTTAAACAAGTCGACTTGTTGATTCTTTTTAAGTTAGCCAAACTGCAATACCTCGCTATTTTTTTAGTCTTAAGGTGGTTGTCTGACTGGGGTTATTAGATTTAAAAAATAAAAATACTGATCAATTCTACATTTCCGGCTTAAAGGTTTCAAAATACTTGAAACATCAGTGGAAATCTTACCAGAACTAAATGTATTATTTGGATCACGCCCATATTTTACAATTTCGATGTTGACATACGGTTCACTTTCTATCGGTTCACAGGGACTCTTGGGCCGCCCTTTCTTTCCCTTTTCACCGTTTTCGGTTTTGTTACCACCTTCAGTTCGGTTTTTGTAATCCGTTACGGGCTCGCCATCGGTTAAATTTTCAGCCTGTGATCGAGTTCGACCTCCTTTGCTCTCTCGGCCACTGTAAAATTTCATATTTATTAAAAATACCATTGTGGGGCATTGACGATCGGGCAGAGAACAATGCCACAGATCCTGGATTCGAAGTCAGGCGGAGTCAACATTCGTATAAAGCATTAACAGCAAATCGTGATTTTGTTATTGCGCCTCTGATCGTATATAGGAAGGTTGTATCTCATTATGGCAATCAGAAGTAATGTGTGGTGAGTCATGAGCAAGGTCGCCTGGAATCGTAAGACGTTCACGGCTGGTGACCTGAGTTCTATCCTTTGGTATTCTAAAGTGTAATAATTATGATTAAAACTACTTTTACGGATTTTATCGCGTTTATTTTTACTTTTTATTTTTAATTCCCGACGTTTCGGGCGCTTTCCAGCACCCATGGTCACGGGGGACTGAGATGACTGACGTCCCGATGTCATTGTTAAACCCGGAGTACCTTCAGCTTTTTTAATTATTGTTTATGGTCCGATCTATGCAAAATGAACTGACTATGGCCTGAGGTCTTGCAGTGGTATGCTTGGGTTTAGTTTTAATTTTATTGATTATAGGATCCCAAGCAGGTGGTAGTACCCAGCCTCCTTCTCTATTGAAATTAGGATGTTTTTTAATTTCAATAGCCTCACGTATCATCCTTGGTAGGAATCGGTGTTCTTTCGCGAGGATTTGTGGTCTATCAAATCTGATGTAATGGTTGGGGCCGTCTAGGATATGATCACAAACTGCAGACTTCCCGGAACGTTGATGCTTCACATCAGCTATATGTTCTTTTACGCGGGTCCTAATTGATCTTTTGGTTTGTCCTATATAAGAGAGACCACATTCACAATCAAGCTTGCACACTCCTGCATCTTGTAGAGAATATGACACTTGACGGATGGTAGGAACTGACTAATCTTCTTCGGCGGCTTGTAGAATGTTCTAATAGAAGCTCGCTTCAAGATAAAGCCAATCTTGTCTGTGACACCTCTGACATATGGTAGTACAGCAGGCACACGCTCGACTGTGGCCGGCTTCACTCGGTCACTGTGACGTAGGCGCGGGACCCGAAGCTTGTTGTCGTGCAGAACTTGCTTGACGTGCTGAAGCTCGGCGGCCAGGGTTTGCTGTCACAGATCCCTCGTGCTCTCTGTAACAAAGATTTGCCCACGGTAGCTAACTGTGAAGGATGGTGGTGAGATTCACCGTTTAAATATCGGTTTGTATGGGTCTTTTTCCTATACACAGTGTGACCAATGGTGTTATTAGGATTTCGGATGACTAACACATCTAGGAAAGGTAAGGAATTATATGCCTCTAACTCCATAGTAAATTGAATTTTAGCGTTTATGGAATTAAGATGTTCTAAAAATGCAGTTACTTTGTCTGATGGTAAAATTGTGAAAGTATCGTCTACGTACCGCTTGTAGATCTTTGGTGTAACAGGTGCAGTAAGGAGGGCTTTCTCCTCAAAGTCTTCCATGAATATATCGGCGACAATGGGAGATACAGGTGAGCCCATCGCCACACCATCTACTTGCTTGTAAAACTCTTCCTTCCACAATAGATAGCCAGATGTAAGGCAATGTCTTAGTAATACTGCATATTCTGCTGGCATGTTATTTTCCTCTAGTTTCCTAGTTATAATTGAGATGCAGTCTTCAACAGGTAGGCATGTAAATAGAGACTGAACATCAAAACTGACCATGGTTTCATTGTCAGTAAGATGTAGGTCTTTTATCTCACTGACAAAATGGTATGAATCCTTAGTGTGTGCTCTTGTGTGTCCTCTGAGTGGTGATAATATTTTAGCTAAGTATTGAGCCAATCTGTAAGTTGGCGAATCAATCTGACTCACTATTGGACGTAATGGAGCATTCGGTTTGTGTATCTTTGGTAACCCATACAACTTCGGTGGTTTGGCACAGGAAGGTATTATCGAATTAACGTCCAGATTCAATTTTTCGGAGTATTTCTTAATTAGATCGCTAGTTGTTTTAAGCGTATTAGTTGTAGGGTCTGTTTTGACCTTTCGATAAGTAGTTTCATCCGACAAAAGTTGTTGTATTTTAAAATTGTAATCTGACGTATCCATTATAACCGTAGAATTACCTTTATCTGCGCGGAGAATCGTAAGCTCTGGTCTGTTGCGTAAGTTTTTCAAAGCGTTAAATTCATTTTTGGGGAGATTTAATTTCGGCGCTGAACTTCGACGTAACATAGACGAGATGTCTTGACGTATGGCCTCTAAATCTTCATTACCAATATTATTTTTATACAGACAGTCCTCAACACTACAGATAATGTCCTCATACGGTATTTTTCGCGGTGCTATTGCGAAATTAATACCTTTTTCTAAAACTTTTATTGTGGCGTCGTCCAGTGTTTGTTTTGATAAGTTGTAGACAGCGCGTTGTTTATGATTCGTGTCTGTGGTCCACGATTTCGTATGTTGGACATTTGATTTAGTTGTTAATTTATGGTATTTATCAATGTGTTTATTTTTGCATTCATTGTATTTAGTTGTTTCGCGTTTATCTAAAGTTTCCATGCAATTTTTATAATCAAATGTCGATAAAACTGTCTTTAATTCACTGGACGAATTGTCTATGGTTTTGTTTATGAAATATAGATCTACAACTTATCAAAACAAACACTGGACGACGCCACAATAAAAGTTTTAGAAAAAGGTATTAATTTCGCAATAGCACCGCGAAAAATACCGTATGAGGACATTATCTGTAGTGTTGAGGACTGTCTGTATAAAAATAATATTGGTAATGAAGATTTAGAGGCCATACGTCAAGACATCTCGTCTATGTTACGTCGAAGTTCAGCGCCGAAATTAAATCTCCCCAAAATGAATTTAACGCGTTGAAAAACTTACGCAACAGACCAGAGCTTACGATTCTCCGCGCAGATAAAGGTAATTCTACGGTTATAATGGATACGTCAGATTACAATTTTAAAATACAACAACTTTTGTCGGATGAAACTACTTATCGAAAGGTCAAAACAGACCCTACAACTAATACGCTTAAAAAAACTAGCGATCTAATTAAGAAATACTCCGAAAAATTGAATCTGGACGTTAATTCGATAATACCTTCCTGAGCCAAACCACCGAAGTTGTATGGGTTACCAAAGATACACAAACCGAATGCTCCATTACGTCCAATAGTGAGTCAGATTGATTCGCCAACTTACAGATTGGCTCAATACTTAGCTAAAATATTATCACCACTCAGAGGACACACAAGAGCACACACTAAGGATTCATACCATTTTGTCAGTGAGATAAAAGACCTACATCTTACTGACAATGAAACCATGGTCAGTTTTGATGTTCAGTCTCTATTTACATGCCTACCTGTTGAAGACTGCATCTCAATTATAACTAGGAAACTAGAGGAAAATAACATGCCAGCAGAATATGCAGTATTACTAAGACATTGCCTTACATCTGGCTATCTATTGTGGAAGGAAGAGTTTTACAAGCAAGTAGATGGTGTGGCGATGGGCTCACCTGTATCTCCCATTGTCGCCGATATATTCATGGAAGACTTTGAGGAGAAAGCCCTCCTTACTGCACCTGTTACACCAAGGATCTACAAGCGGTACGTAGACGATACTTTCACAATTTTACCATCAGACAAAGTAACTGCATTTTTAGAACATCTTAATTCCATAAACGCTAAAATTCAATTTACTATGGAGTTAGAGGCAAATAATTCCTTACCTTTCCTAGATGTGTTAGTCATCCGAAATCCTAATAACACCATTGGTCACACTGTGTATAGGAAAAAGACCCATACAAACCGATATTTAAACGGTGAATCTCACCACCATCCTTCACAGTTAGCTACCGTGGGCAAATCTTTGTTACAGAGAGCACGAGGGATCTGTGACAGCAAACACCTGGCCGCCGAGCTTCAGCACGTCAAGCAAGTTCTGCACGACAACAAGCTTCGGGTCCCGCGCCTACGTCACAGTGACCGAGTGAAGCCGGCCACAGTCGAGCGTGTGCCTGCTGTACTACCATATGTCAGAGGTGTCACAGACAAGATTGGCTTTATCTTGAAGCGAGCTTCTATTAGAACATTCTACAAGCCGCCGAAGAAGATTAGTCAGTTCCTACCATCCGTCAAGTGTCATATTCCTCTACAAGATGCAGGAGTGTACAAGCTTGATTGTGAATGTGGTCTCTCTTATATAGGACAAACCAAAAGATCAATTAGGACCCGCGTAAAAGAACATATAGCTGATGTGAAGCATCAACGTTCCGGGAAGTCTGCAGTTTGTGATCATATCCTAGACGGCCCCAACCATTACATCAGATTTGATAGACCACAAATCCTCGCGAAAGAACACCGATTCCTACCAAGGATGATACGTGAGGCTATTGAAATTAAAAAACATCCTAATTTCAATAGAGAAGGAGGCTGGGTACTACCACCTGCTTGGGATCCTATAATCAATAAAATTAAAACTAAACCCAAGCATACCACTGCAAGACCTCAGGCCATAGTCAGTTCATTTTGCATAGATCGGACCATAAACAATAATTAAAAAAGCTGAAGGTACTCCGGGTTTAACAATGACATCGGGACGTCAGTCATCTCAGTCCCCCGTGACCATGGGTGCTGGAAAGCGCCCGAAACGTCGGGAATTAAAAATAAAAAGTAAAAATAAACGCGATAAAATCCGTAAAAGTAGTTTTAATCATGTGCAATGTTCGCGTAAATATAAGAAATCATTATGTAATAATTATATTATCGTCGATAAACTTTACAAATTTAATAATAAATATTTGAGGAAGTCTGAACTTCTTCCACCCAGGTGGAACAGTGTTCGAATTTCTATTGATTCCTAATCCTCATAAAAGTTAAAATTCGTTTGTACCAACAGCAATAGTGTATAGAAATGTTATATGACATAGGTCAATTTTACTACATTTTTAGGAAATGACGAAAAAAATAGAAGCTTACGTTTTCGGAACGCTTGCTGTTGTTTGATTTAGCCTGTCTGTTTTTCTGCTTGTTCTCTTATCACGTTTCTCCAATATGTTATCAACATTAGTTGAATTCGTCTTATTATACTGTATCGGAATAACAGCGTTTTCTTTTTCAGAAACATCATTAGACGTATCTTTTCGAAGTTTTAGCGGAATCACTTTAAGAATATCAATGACGTCATGATATACACCTGAAGTTTTAGCAATCGGGCTTAGAGTCGAGATTTCTGAGTCTGATTCTTCACGGATGATATGACGTTTTACTCTTGATAATATTTGATTTTTCTCAGTTGATGTTGGTACATTCTTATTTTCATCACTTTGTAAATCTACATCCAAATGTTTCTTAACTTCTTCAGTAATGTTTTGATTTAAAAATCTTTTATGCCGTTTATCAATGTATCTTTCAAAATATTGACGTTTCAATGCATTTATACCGTTTGAAATTTCATCTTTTGTAGCGAACTCGTGATCTGGAAACAGTCCTCCTTTGAGAACTGTCATACGCGATGGTGAATCATTATCAAATTCTTCAGAATCTTCATATTCCGAAACATCTTCGTGGTGAACTATGTCTTCCTCTTCAGGTTCATAAACAGGTTGATAAGCATACAGTCTGTGGCCAATTGGTTCCCCATGAACATTGTAGACAGTGTAAACGGCCGTAGGGTAATTTTCTTCATCATTTTGAACGTTCGATCCTATAATTTCATCCTCTTCCTCCAAATCTAGATCAAACTTCTTCATTAATTTAAAATTTGCGTGTCTTAAGGTTGGTTTTTGTGTGTCATGATTATATTTATTGTACAACTGGTTAAGGTAGTCCTGGTTAGGATCAGTTTGCCTTTGAAGTTTGTTGTAATATTGACGCAGGTACGCAGACCTTCTGTGACGTATCTCAGGTTCTGGAATGGATCTTCGTCTGCGGCTCCATCTTATACGAGGATGTTGGTAAAGTGTGCATCTGTAAGAATTATGAATGATACATATGTTAGATTCGTATAAATTTTTGACTTTAATAAATTATATATCATTACAATGGCACTTGTTTCGTTGCAAATGGTTTAACAAACGTACTTAGGCAATTCTCTTGGACTCCAATGTCCACCAATACACGTAGCTCCCGGTGGACCTTCTGATAACACGTAGCCCTTCTCACATTCGTACATGATTTGTTTATTGTTCACCACCTACGATTTAAACAAGAATTTTTAAAATAATTACCAACATTGTAATTATATATTTTAACACTTACCTTCTTCACATATGGTCGATAATCATATAATCCCATGTTCCCAACTAAGAGTACTTTTCCGTTTTCTATGTATCCAGGGAAAGGACAGAATACTGCAAATAGGAAATATTTGAAAATTAGTTCATTCCAGACTTTATTTTTTCTCCTTAGAAAACTTGATCTAATGTTATTGTTTGGTCTTGTCAATACAAACACAAAAATTATGCAATAGCGCTTATTAGTGTTATTCCATAAAATGATTACTGTTATTGATTACTATATCAAAACGCTATAGTAATCAATGATAGAAATATTAAAGAAAAACTATTCCTCATCAATAATCAATGTCAAAGGTATAAAATGACTACAAGAATTGTTGTGAAAGAAATTGTATTTATACATACATACTTTTTTAAACTTTTCTGTTTCTGTTAATAATGAAAATAAATTCATTTCAAAGTTCTCTAAACTACGATACGAATTAAAAATACACCGTGAACCAATTTTAATCAATTTTGAAGAGCTTAGAACAAAAAAGCTTGTCCGTGTTGTTGTTAAATACGTAAATAAGTTAATAGCAACCTCAGTGTTTAACGAAGAATAAAATTTTTTCTTTACAATAATAATAATTTCCCGTGTTATCGTCTAGATACCTTCTTCACATCGTGGTGTCTCCCCACTCCAGTTCCCAAAGGAACAAACGACTATTGGATTGCCTTTAAGCTCGTATCCGTCCTTGCATCTAAATCTCGCCTTCATTCCGTGTTCAGTTTTCGGAGCTATCACCATTCCGTTCCTCGGATATTTCGGCATTTTCTTGCACCTATTTGTATAAATATCATTCGTTTTAAAAAGAAAGTCTTATAACAAGGGGGATGAACTTCTGTATGTACCTTATATATTGATGCCTCAAAGCAGTCTTTCAGTCTGAAGGGTATAGAGAACCAGTATAGTAAGGCCTTGAGGCGTTCCATCTTATTTCTCCGAGGTGAGAACCCATCTGTAGCCTTCGTTGCTCAAAGTTAGTTCAAGCCCATTGACTGTAGCTGCCACTTATCATCAGGGGAATGCAAGTTTGTTTGTCACTTTAATTTTAATAACTAAAAATAATAATAATATTTAACTCTCTATACACGTCAGAATATAATACACCAGTGCAGATACGAAGAGATATACTCTGATGGACCCCTAGACAGGAAAAAACTCTTAAGATACCTAGAAATGTAACTCACAACTTCGCTAACACTGTAACAGAGGGGAGTATCGAATTCCTATCAACGCTAAAAATCATAGCGAGGACATGAACTTCAGCGTTAGACCACAGACCAGTTCTCACAACAGAAGTTATCAGGAAGTTCCTGCTACCCGTGTCCCGTTTCAGTTTCCCTTTATTGCCTCTTACGGTATCCACGGCAGTCCGTAATATGGTTTTCGTATTTATTATATTTTTTGTAATTTCATACCTAGCAGGCTGACACCGAGGTATTTGAGTCCAGGTTCCATTATTGCAGTTAACAGCGACATTATTGGACGGAAACTCGTAGTTCTTCTCACAGTCAACTAAAATTACGTCACCTGGAATCATTAAATAACGTTTTAATTGTCATTGACTTAAATTTTGTTCATTTTTGCTCCTTCACGAATGGGTTCCCGCTTAGTTGTGACAGGGGACGTAGTAGCCATGGCTAGTTACGTCCGGCATATAATAAGGAACCCACACGAATCTTCCGAGGGACGATTAACCATAGGTGCTTATACTCCACCAAAACGAATATCTACATCATCAATAAACAAAGTGTTGGTATACTGTTTGCATTTCATCCTATTCTTCACACTATGATACCACCCCCGACAACGATGCATCAAAGGATCAGATCCGCCGCTGAGGCCAAAAAGGCTGTTGCTTACGTTTATTCATTTTCCCGTTGGAGATGGAGGAAAGCGTGACTTGTGTTCTACGAGGCGTGTATGCATAGGTATTTCCCGCATGGGCATTCTCCATGAAAAAAGGTGACCAGTGTCCATGGGCATGTAACCACTTACGAGTACCATCGGGTAGACTGTTAATCTGTTGTCAGCCCTACTAATATTATGAATGAAAATATGTTTGCCGTATGAGGAACCTCAAGACGCTTAACGAGCTATGGAGAGGGCTATGTCTAGAGTTTGTCTGTGTGATAAAACTATTAGAAACAAGGATATATTTATTATATAATTTATAAGCCAGTCCGATACCGAAGAAAACGTGTGTTAGGAATTATTTTCATTTTGTGTAAAAATGAACACGTGTGTGTTCATTTTTACACAAAATGAAAATATATATATATATATATATATATATATATATATATATACATACATACATACATATATATATATATATATATATATATATATATATATATATATATATGTATGTATATAATAAATATTCACAGTAGAACCAGAGTAAATGACATAGCCCAACGGATTTTTAAACTGAAGTGGCAGTTTGGACGAGGAAAAAAGTTTCTCAAGTGGCAGCCCTAGATGAAGTGACGACCTGGTAAGAGATGCAGGAAGTAGATGGATGCAGGTGCTGTGTGGCATTCCTTGGGGGAGGCCTATGTTCAGCAGTGTACTTGTGAAGGGCTGTAATGGTGATCATCATCAGCAATGGACTTGTGAAGGACTGTAATGATTATGAAAGTATGTTTGTTTGGGTGTATATGTTACCGGAAATGTATGTAATCCGTTATTGTATACAATTCCTAGGAAATGTATGTAATTCCTAAAATCGCACGGAAATGTGTAAAATAAATTATATTAGACACATTTCCTAGGAAATCTATACATTGTCTAAATAGCAGTCGGAAATGTAAATATTTGAGATATCAATGGGTATGCGGGGATAACGGGGTGGGGAGGGTATTATTTTGTCTGATCGGGCAATCTCGCTAGTGCCGCGTTAACTGTCAGTGTGTACGCACGTCGCTGTTGTTCAAAATGGCTACCGAATCACGCATCGCGCTTATGAAAGAGCGATTTTATAGTACTTTAGCGTCATTAAGAACGTTAACAAACGCTAAGAACACTGCTTAAATTGAAGATGAACGTTATAAAGAGTTAATTGAAGAAGTTTCCACGGCAAAAATAACAGCCAGAAAGACATCTCGTGATTATTGGTTATTGCGGCGATACGATGTGCTTACCATTGACCAGAAAAGTAAGCTTATTTTTCCTGTTAAAGACACTACAAGCACTATTATTTACTACGCATGTGATAGCGAGTTATTCGACATATTACGCGAGGCACATATTCAAATTGGTCACGGCGGAAGAGATCGTATGATGAAAGAGGTAGGGAGTCACTACAAAAACATAACACGTAAGGATATAGAAACTTATCTTGAACTTTGTGAACCCTGTCAACAAAAGCAAAAAAACATCAAAAAAGGCATTGTTGTAAAGCCTATTATATCGTCAGAGTTTAACTCTAGATGCCAAGTGGATCTGATAGATTTTCAGTCCCAGTCCGACGGTGATAACAAATTTATAATGGTGTATCAAGATCATTTAACAAAATTTGTTGTTTTAAAACCACTTAAAACAAAACGAGCTGAGGAAGTGGCTCACACTTTATTGGACATATTTACTCTACTTGGTGCTCCTGCAATACTTCAGTCTGATAACGGCAGAGAATTTTCCAACCGAATTATTGAGAATTTAAAAACATATTGGCCTACTTTAAAAATTATTCATGGTAAACCCAGGCATTCGCAAAGTCAGGGGAGTGTGGAAAGAGCAAATCAGGATATTGAAAATATGTTGACCACGTGGATGCAAGACAATAATAATTTACATTGGAGTGAGGGTTTGAGACTTGTGCAACTCATGAAAAACAGAGCTTTTCACGCTGGTATTAAGCAATCTCCTTATGAGGCACTTTTTAGGTGTAAAGTAAAAGTTGGTTTACAGTTACCCAATGTTTTCACGCAAAATGTAGAAACTGAAGAAGATTTGGAGAAAATTATACAGGACCTTACCAAAAAAGAAGAAGATCCCGAAGTCACTGCATGTGAATTCTCTAAGGTGAACACGGAGGCAAGTCAAGTTTCTAACAACGATTCAGATCAACGCGAAACAAATACGCAACCTCCAGCTTGCACCCTCCAATGCAGCGTCTGTTCACAAGAAACTACAGAGGCTCATACATGTAGAGAATGTGGATGTGCAATCCACGCTATTTGCGCTGTTGTAGCAAAGCTACTGGACAAGAGAATCATCTGATGAAGGATTTGGATCTAAAGTTTTGTGTCTATTATGTTCAAAAAAATATAAAGTACAAGATAATCGTCAAAGTGCTAAGAAAAACCTACAACATCAGGCTGAAAAAATGCTGAAATCGAGTGAAAAGAAGTTTGCTCCTGTACCTATTGGCACTTCTGTACGAATTGCAGTTCCAGAGGTTGACAGAGGACGTGGTGATGTCCGAAATATTATAGGTGTAGTTTTGGCTAAAACCGATGATGAGCTTTATCAAATTGGTACCAAGAACGGAATCTTATATTCTCGATCTCAGATTAATGTGTGTCCAAGAGCTCTTCTTGATGCAGAGGATGTACCGAGTACGGAGATAGCACTACGGTCAGTTGCTAACCTACAATCCACTGGAACCGGCCAGGGATTTAAAAAGTGCCATTGCAAGAAAAACTGTACTACAGCAAGATGTCTGTGCTATAAAAATAAATTATTGTGTACTTCCAAGTGCCATTCCGGCTTACCCTGCAAAAATAAATAGCCATATGGACTGACTCTTTATATAATATAAAGTCTTACTTTAATATTGTGACATTTATAATTACTTAAATAACAGACTAATTACTTACCCAACGAAAGTTTGACTTTATGAGAATAATATAAGTCGATTTTGTGACAAATACATTTTAAAAGTTCCTAGATACTTGATTTTCGAAGCTTTAATTAGTAAGATAATATGAAGATTATTATATTTTACGAAATGACTGTTACCTGAACGCTTTTGTCTCAACGAGTGTTTTAATAAAAATTATTATTTTCATTTTAACAACGTGTTTTATTACAGAAATCATTATTTTTATACATTTCCTAATACGATATTGGAATTATATACAATTCCTAGGAATTATGCACATTTCCTAGGACATTTATGTATTAAATAGTTTTTGAAACAATATTTTATACATTTCCTAAATAACTTCGGAATTATATAAATTTCCTAGGATTTGTATACAATTCCTAGATTTCATACATTTCCGGTAACATATATACTTCAAACTTTAACTGCTGGACAGATTCAAAAGAAATTTAGTAGAGGAATCGTTAACGTCGATGATGATCATGACGTTTACTTACTAAACTTAAATTAATGCCCTAGAAAACAGGCGGGTAATAGCTAGCTAGTTTGTTCTACAAAATATGTTGATATTTACCATGTTGCACCATTGTCGAGCTACCAACAATCTGAGTGTACTTTTGTGTGGTGTTGTCACCCGTTTTGTTATCCAATCGAACTATTCTGCCTTGAGACACGTGAGGAACGACGCATGGAGCTGAAAGAAGGTACAATACAATATTCGTCTATCGAAAATAATAATAATTTAAAAATAATGGTACGATATGACGATGGTATGACTTTAGTCTGTTTAAGGAAAGGCAAACAGCTTTGTATGGGAAGCCGCGTGCGTAGCGTAGACATTTTGGCGGACACACATCCTCTGACATGGTCTAGATCCCAGGCAGTATCACAGGCGAAATGAGTAAATGAACTAATAGTCTCTCAGTAATTACAATGTTTTTGTGTCATTAGCTGTAGAGAAGCGTTTATCCACTTTTAACTTACGGTATCATATACTGGGGAAACTCAACAGATATAAAATCCACATTCGTTCTCCAGAAAAAATGTCTTAGAACAATATATAGCATGCATAGTACCGAATCATTAAGAGATGTTTTCAGAACAAAGGGTTTCCTAACACAGACTGGAATCTTTATCTTGGAATTATGTCTATTGGTTAAAAACAATGTGCAATATTTTAATTTCAAATCTGATTCAAAGAAAAACATTCGTAATCAATATAAATATGATATAAGCTTACCTATTATTAAAAATATGATTTACTATAAGAGTACCTATATTACAGCTATTTGTGTATACAATCAGTTACCACCAGTAACCTATTAAATGGAAATTTGTACAAAACAAAATTAAAGAAATTGTTAATTGAAAACATTTTTTTACAATTTTAATGAGTTTTTTTAATTTTAAATGACTTCTTAAAAAAATAAATTTAAGTCATTTTAAATTTATTTTTTTAACTGTTGCATATCTGACATGGGTAAACTGTTGAGCCTAAAACTATATGTTTTTGTACTAATATCATATTGTAATCAGTTATGCAATAAATTTATCTTTATCTTTATCTTTAGGGAGCGTTTAATTATCACGTAAGCAGACTTTCTAAGATTTTCAATTTTTTTTTACTTCTGAAATATTAAAAATCTTACGTAAGATAATAAAATTATAAAAATATTTTTTAAGCAATATTTTTACCCTGAATTATGAAAACTATTTTTATTATTGTGAAGATGGGCTACCAATTGTTAATAAACTTGGATACGGTGCCAAATTATTCTTAATTTTTTGAATTTTATTAATACAATATACTTTAATTTTAAAAATAATTGAGTCTTTTAAATTTTACTTGTAGTTTTTGTTCAATTTTAATGAATATTCAATATAATAAGTTTACGCAAATAAAATTTCAAGTAATAGCAACTATTGTAAAAATGATTAGTTCTGGGAACAAGGTCATCACATCTGAAGTGTAGGGTGACCACCTACTTCATACTAATATATGTATACGTATGCAATAATAATAGTAATACTATAGTGATTTCTTAAATTTACCCGAATACTGCACATTGAATAAAACTATTTATACGGATTTTCTGTGGACGAGTCCTCCCCGTGACCATGGGTGCTGTCAAGCACCTGAAACGTCGGGTATTAAAAATAAGTTAATTAAATTTAAAATCCGTATAAATAGTTTTATTCAATAATAATACTAACCTAAGCACTTAGGTAAAGGATGACTCCACGTTCCATCGCTTTGACAGATCGCTGATCCATTTCCTTCCATTCTCATTCCATCCTGGCATCTAAAGATAATAGAAGCTCCTAGGCCCGTTCCCGAAGATATGTTCTCCAACCATCCGTTCCAAAGTTGACCCGGGTGACCACAATTAATTTCTTAAAGCAGAAAACGATTTCATTAATATTGAAAACAAAGTTCAATTGCAACGCTGCGGAATCCTATGTCTGCACTAAGATTAAATTAGATCAACCGGTGAATGTACACGATCGCACAGAATCTTGCGTGAAATAGCATCATAATGCTGCTGTTTCTTATTAGATTTTCATGTTAGAAGCGAAAACGGGATACCCTTTTTTATAGAATATGATGAGAAGTTAAGAATCAAAACTCAGATGCATTATCACCCCTTGAGGACTAAGATGGAATGTCTCATTTCCAGTAAAAAAGGGTCTCTGGATCTCTACACTCACCGTACGAAACATAGCAATATTAGGCTGCTATTTTATGCCGGTATTCTGTGAGAGCGTGGTCTTTCTCCGGTCGAGCCGACCAATTCGTCCTACATCCATAATATAGCTGCTCATTTTTTCTGGTAACGTGATATTCCATCTCAATGCTCAGTGATCATAATCAGTATCATCATTAACAATACGGCCTACCAAAGCTCCACTGCATAAGTGTATCAATAAATTGCATAGGGGAGATATTTGTCGTAGCTGCCAAACTTAGGTCCTCGCCTAACCAGCCTAGCATTGACGACAGCATATTTTTAATTATATTTATCACCTGCGTCATTTCTCTCTGTCAAATCTTAAAACACGCATGATGTGACGATATGGGCAGTGGACAAGGACAACAGGCAATGTGTAGATTTAGGAGATCACCACTTCTACTCAATCAGACGATATATTCTTTTTTTGGACATCGATGCACATTAAAATGAACAATAAATGAAATAAATTATACAGTGTCCCAGAAATCGACGTCAAGTCGGAATCGGATGATAGGTCAAGTCATAATAGTTAACTAAAAAAATATAAAAATATATTTGCTATGTATTTTAAAAATTAAGGCATTTATAAATAAATCGAAAAAATCTGTAGATTTTATTGATTTTTTTCGTCACACGTTATTTTTTTCGTCACAGGGTTCTAACCTGTAACTTCTGGTCTTTTAAATTCTGTTGCAAAATATTTTTTTTACATAGCAAATTTTTTTTTATATTTTCTCTTAACTATTATGACTTGACCTATCACCCGATTCTGGCTTGACGTCGACTTCTGGGACAACCTGTATAAGGTACAATAAGTGGTTTTATAGCCGAAACTGAAACCGATTTCTTCCATACAACCTTTTTACGCAAATAATTGTTATTTATGACGAATGGCGAAAAGGGAGGGTGTACGTAAATTAGAGAATTAAGAAAAGGAAAATAAGTAATAATTAAAACACAAGATGATAACAGTTAAAAATAGGTATAATATACAAGAAGAGACGGGAAGTATAATAGGAAGTATTAGAGCTTTAAAGCTCTTAAGTAGTAAGCTTTGAGTAGATTTCTGAAGGAAAAAAAAAGACTGAGAACGTCGAATACATAAAAGGGAAAAAAAAAACAAAAATTCTGTAGCTGTAACCGAAAATTATTTATTGAAGAAGGTGGATGAATATGCCGTAGTGTGAAGCAAAACATTGTTAGTGTAACGTAGATGATCAACGTGAGAAGAGGTGATGAACTTTATTAAGGAGGTCTTTCAGGTAACGTGGACTAAAATATTGATCAGCATGTGGTACAAAGCAAAAAGATGTGAGTATTTCTGTTAAGGCGAAGGCTACTTAACATTAGGTGAACTGTGTGCTCCTAATCTGATCACTCTTACTTCTATAAAAAACTTATTTCAAAAAGTGTCAGCTGTATTTCTCACCTTTACACATTGGCTGCGTTCCGGACCACTTTTTGTCCGCTCCACAGCGTCTTGTAGCGTCTCCTACCAGTCTATAGCCGTACTTGCATTCATACGACACCACCGAGTTGTATGCACAGGAAGTGTACACCGCTTTACCGTGGCGGGGAGCTTCAGGCGGTGGGCATTGCACCTGCGTGACCACTAGATGGCGACACACGTCGCTTTAAAGTAACTCAGTTATGGTCATAAATGACGATGTTGTAAGTAGGAAAAAAAAAGCTCAGCGTTTATTTATTTTAATTTAGTTTGAAATATGTTTTATTCATAGATTTAGCGTAAAAAACATGCAAAATAGTATAACGAGAGACATGCAGAGTAAATAAAACAATGAAATATTATTTACCTTTATTTTGCTACAGCATAGTACAATGTAGATTTAAGAAGTCTTTACAATAAATTACTGTAAGTTTAACATCGAAGCTTCAACTACGACAATAATTCATCTAGATTATAATATGTAGCTATAATTTTAGGCTATAGGCATTTACATAGATATTTTAACGTTAATAATTTTACCATGGCCATGGAAATTTTGATTTTCATGAAATTCACAAGAGTCGCAGTACTAACTTAATAAAATTTCAACAGAACAACAATTCTACAGTTTAACTGTATCGAGTTTAAAGACACTACGTAAAGTAATGATCGATTCAAACTGTCCCCTTCTCTCCTCCTTCTGTACAGCAGCAGGAAAGGAGAAAAAAGATGTTTAAAATTTCATAATTCATAAATGATTTTAAATGGACATCCCACTTGTCATTGGAAAATTTCGGGATCAATTTGAAAAAATCAAAAATTTCATTAAATTTATAAAATATACAAAGATTGACAGAAATATGAAATAAATTTTAAAAACTAGAATTATCAAGTGATTAATGTTGTTTTTAACAATATCGATAGTGTTCTTAATGTGAAAGAAATAGAAAATAAATTTACAGATTCCAATTGAGTGGGAGATCCGAAAGGACTAATTATTGCATCATGACAATGATATTGCTCCGAATAATAGCCATGATAATTTATAAAATATAGTAAAGCGTCATGCCAACTATTCACCTCCAGAACATGTAGACATTGAATCCACGATAACTTGAAAACCATGCAACATTCCAAAAATTAATAACGACACTGAAATCGGCAACTACATTGTCACGAAGCAATGCCAGAAGTACACGGCAAGATTGTGATGATAAAAATTTGTTAATGACGAGTCTGTTACCTACACAAATGAATAAAATTAAAGTGCCCGTTTTTAATGTCCAAATAAAAACAGCTTTTTATCTATAACAAAAACCAATTTTTACATGTTTGGCTGTCTGCATGTCTGTTCTTTTTTCCGACTAATCCCCGAAATTTCTGATCCAATTTTGAAGGGTCTTTTACTGGAATGTAGCTGATGTTATAGAGAGTAGCTTGGGCTACTTTTATTTTTGAAAAAGAATTAGGGATTCTCGCTAAAAAAATAAAACCCATGAAATTCAATCGTAATAAATTCCACGCGATCGAAGTCGCGGGGAACAGCTAGTCCTTTATAATTTGGCACGAACGAATGTAGAGTAATTACATATGTTTTTGCAGATCCATCTCAGGATATAAGACTAATTAAATCATCTTGAACTTGAAATGAAACTAAATTAGAATTCTTATAGATTTACTCCATTTACAACTTCGTTTAATTTATAGCTACCACAGTACCATTCTATTAGGTTACAATTGAAATTAATAGATTAAATATCATCAGATTTGTCATGTAAAATGAATCTATTAAATCATCAGATTTGTCGTGTAAAATTGGTTATAACTAAAAATTCACGATACGATCACGGAGGACTGAGGTGTTCGATATCCCTATTTGCTCTTGATTTCATGTTTAACGCGAATTCTCTTTTAACTAAAAGGTTTTTTTTGCATTTAATTAAAAAGTTTTGGTCCGATATATCCTCAATCACAGTATATCGAATGCTTTCAGTGGTATAGTAAAGTTTGGATATAATTTTATTAATAACGGAATGCCTAGCTCTATTTTCTCTATTAGATTTAGGACTATTAACATCAATAGCATTATGAATTATTATTTGTGGGAAACTGTATTCTATTTTTGAGTTTGTGGTCTACGGTCTTTCGGTTTAAGGAAATTTATTTCTCATAAGAACATACAATGGTTCACTTATAATGAGAAACAAAGTAATTATTATACTAAAGTAAAATTATTATAAGAAGTGTTATAGTTTAAGCTTATTTACTTATACATATGGGCTACAATGTATTCAAAAAACATTACACCGTACGTATGTATTTCCTAAGTTTACTTTTAAACACTTTCATGTTTTGCAATTTTTTATGTCATCTGGTAATTTATTGAACAGCTGTGCTCCCTCAAACAGCAGGTTTTTTTACTTCTTAAATTGTGTGTTGTTTTTTATGTAATTGTATGTTTGATTGAAGATAATTAGTGGTAATATTTTTTATTAGAGTGCAAGTGCGATACATGTATAGTTGTGTAAGGTTTAGTAAGTAAGTTTTTTCGTATAGTACTTTTGTTGGAGTCTTTTAAGTTTGTAATGTCGTTTAAATTTAAATTAAACATGATGAAATCTATAGAATTAGTTTTATTTTCTTATAAAAAATCATCAATCGTAGTACAATTAAAAATGCCTTAAATTGTTATTTTTCCGTTTGAAAATTATTCTAATGGTGGGCGAGATAGTAGAGATGTAATTTTTTTTAAATATATTTATTTAATAGGTTTCCGCAAAGCCGACGTCTTATTCATTAATGATATCGAATACTCCGTACCTGAAACATGTCACCACATTTTATGGTATTTGTTTCAAAAGGATGTGAGTGTAATTGTGAACGTTCGTAGTTTGGTAAACTTTTTGTCCATCAAAAAAAATGATGATATGGTCCCTAAACCAATTTTTTTTGTGTTTTAAATCTGTAAATATCTTGAGTAAAACAATTTTTACGTATTTTAGTGCGTTAAATTTCACATAGTTTTACCTCCGTGATCATGGGTGCTGCAAAGCATTCAAAAGAATTAAAAAGAAGGCAAAAAATGGTTTTATTCAACGTGTAGTGTTCGCGTAAATATAAGATATTATTGTGTGAATATAATCTGATAGAGTTTTTATTAAAATCGATTTTGTATTATATTTACATTAGTCATCAAGTGTTAGTCAGAGTAAACCAGTTCGCAACTACCATTTTTGTTATTGAAACTGTATTTTTATCTTTAATTTCAGTTATTGCTATAACGGAGGCTATTTTCAAATAACAGACTCATCATTAAATCTGTTAAAAAATAATTTTATCTATTAAGCTACTCACGGACACAGGTCGGAAGTTCCTTCGGTGCCCAAGCTCCATCTGCTTGACAGTAACGTTCAGCTTTCCCCACGAGTTCGAATCCTTGTCCGCATTGAACCACAGCACGGCAGCCGAAAGTGTGGCAATCAGCTGTAACCCAACCATGGGGCACGTCGCCTGGTTCACCGCATGAGCGAGCTGTGAATGTATAGTATAGTAGTGTTGTACCTTTTCCAGTACAGTAAGTTATTGTATAATGTTCTCCAGGAATATCGATCAGGACAGCCAGTGCACATAGGTGTATTGTGTATCCCTTTACTATTATAGTCTAATGGGACGGTAATTCTATTTTTTATAGCATTGGGTGATAAACGAGCACACTAGTCCACCTGATAGTAAGTGGATGCTGTGACCCATGAATATCCACATTTGTACTTTATTGAAGATCAAAATGCAAATGCGTTGTCACACCTGAGGACTAATATGAAATGCCTTTATGACAGTGAAAAGGGTCTCTGGTTCTCAATGTCTGGTACTCTGCCAAGTATAAGTGGCAATGGACCGGCCATATAGCTCGAAGAACCGACAACCGATGGGGAAAAAAGGTTCTCGAGTGGTAGCCTGGTATCGGTAGGCGAAGTGTGAAAAAGTGAAGGGCGTCCCCCCACTAGATGGTGTAACGACTAGGTAAGACACAAGCAGGAAGTCGATGAATGCAGGTGGCTCAGGACCGTGCTTTGTGGCATTCCTTGGGGATGGCCTATGTTTATCAGTGGACTTGTGAAGGGCTGTAATGATGATATAAGTAGGTTTTTAACTTTTGGAATTTTTTAATTATTTTCATATTTGCCACGCTTAGCAGGCAGTTAATAATAAAAAAGCGGTTACCAGCTTTTTTATTATTATTTCAAGTTGTTATCAGGAGGTTATGCTGCTGCCCATCCCCTGTTTATCTCCCTTTATCGCTTTTTTCGACACCCACTGGATGATATGGTACTTACGATGACACAACACGGCGAAACGTAACGTTATCTTAAAAAATGAATTTTTTTGAACTTACGCTCGCAGCTGATGTCAGGACCGTACCAAGACGCCTGTCCGTCTATAGCTAAACATTTTGCCCTGGGGAAGCCGTTGGTGACGTAGCCAGTGTGACAGTTGTACTGAACGGTGGCGTCAAGGTCGAAGGTGGCTTGTTCAGGTAACGCGGAGTGCCGCGCGTGCTCGATGGTTGGCGGTTGGAGGCAATAGACTATAGAAAGTAAAATATTTGGAAATTATTTATCGTAATATTGATATGAAAATAATTTAGCCTTAACAAGAAAACAAATAAAACTAAAAACTTTAATAACTCATCAGTCCTGCTTCCCGGGATAAGGTGCAAAATTAATTAATAACAAAAACAGATATCATTTTGAATAACAAAATTTATAATAATAACAATCATTCGTGGAAAGTGTTAAATCTCGAGGCGTTGTTATGTTTTTTGATCACGTGATTAAAGTAATGAGATCATCTTATCTCGAAAGCGCCAGTGTATGGAGTGTAGAGGTAAGGAGAACAGACTGTGTATTAAAAAGTGTCCGTAGAAAAGCGTTAAAAAAGGGTGGCGCCACTGTAGCTAGAGGGTAAATTTTAAAGAACTTTTTATTGCACAGATTTTCTTATTGTATTCAAAATTATTTTATTGTATTCAAAATTTTTATTTACAAAATCGCTCTCGACGTGTTTTACGGCACCTTTGCCTAGTATATATATTTACTAAATTATTTTAGACAACGTGAGTAGTTGAGGTTTTAAATAATGTAGTTTCATCAACTACGCTAGTCACCACAAATATTAAATTCATCAACTCAGCACTTTTCACTCCGTCGACAACTACTAAGTTCATTTGATAACCTCTATGTACCCTGTTGTGAAGAGTTTTTGGACTGTTATTTACTGCTTACAGATGGACACTTTTTCAACTATTCACCTAGTGCTCACAACACGAAAATGGCAGCGATTTATGAAGTTATACTTCCCTAGGCACAGAATAAATAATCCCTAGGGCACTGCGGCAGTATACTGGCAGTCCATAACGGAACGAATTTTTCACCAGTGAGACCAGTGAGTAGAGATCGCAGTGTTTATCGGAACACGACCAATTTGATTGAATATTATTAAGTATTTAAGAAGGGAAATGGAATATTATTAAAATGCCAGCAATTTATTAAAAAAAAAAATTCGGAGAATAACTGTGTCTGAATAGGTATAAAGACTTACACAAAAACCATGTGGAAGCTTCTTTGTCTATTTATAATTATTTTTATTATTATAATTGCCTGCCTATGTGTATATACACATATGCAATGTATGTACACGTATACTTCCCTGAAACGACCAACGGGTTTTTCGTTACATCTGTATATAATAATTGATTGTATATAGTTTTAATGGAAGTGACCTTTGTTCATCAGTGGCGTTTGTGATCCTAACATTGAATAATCTATCAAACACTTTAGGATTTCCTCACCACGTTCGGCATTGTTATGTTTATGAACATTTTTTTATATTGGTGATGTGGACATGAGTGGTGATAAGGATGTTAAAATCATTTGGCTAATATCTGATCTAGTTTGAAGAGCACCGACCGCTACGACCGGTCTTAGCTGTCAGCCATCGCAGTCTATCTCTCCTGATAACGCCTCGTTTACAGGCGAAACACGTGTCGTATTGTCGACGGTGGTGTGTCTGAGTGTTACCTTTAAACCTGATTCGAACTAGGCTAGTAATTAAGCAAAGTAGCGAGTAATTTAGTGGCTAAATGTATGCGAACCACAAAAAATTAGTCAGGTATTTTAGAGAATGATTCGAGAGAACAGAGTAGATTGAAGTCGAGTCGATTCAATTTACTCTGTTTTTATCAGGCGAGTAGCGCCTTCTACCACGCGTCCGTGCTCACTGGTTCACCGGCTAATCAAGTCCAAACCTGTTGATTAGTAGAGTTCATTAGTAGCCTCAAAAATGTCGTTTCGCTGGAGCGAAGAAACAACTTTAAAATTTGTTTCCAAATATGTAGAACATCTTCTATCGATCCGTATTCGTACCCATTACTCCTTTTTTTTAATCACACAAAAAAGTAAAAGCAAAAATCAAGATTAAGTAGTTTTAAACAGTAAAATTATTGTTAAAAAACTGTATTTGTGAAAATAACAACTTTTCTATCTAAAAAATCTGGACTATTTTAAACCAATCCCTAAACTATTTCATTATTTTAATTGCATATTATCATTTCCATACGCTTTTATATGTGGGTCCCCATGGCCGGAGTGTCTGCATTCCCATTTCCTCATCCACCTCTTCTAAAATAGCCGTTACGATTAGCTTGATCAGTTTATTCACTCTTTTGAGTTGCAGCCCGTTCATCTTGCAAAACGCCACTCACTTTGTACTGGGACCGTAATGCGAACGATTTCCGGGCAGTGGCAAGTAGTTTAGCCACTAAATTACACGCTACTCTACTAAATTACTGGAGTAGTCCGAACTAAGCAGCCTACTAAAATAGAATACTAAAAGTAAAAACTATAGATTGGCTCATAAGGGCGTTAGTTGCCGTAGTTGCCAAGCTTGGTGGGCGGGTTAAGGTGATACCTCGAAAATTTAGTGGTTTTCCTGTTTCACATACCAATTACATATCAAATTTTTGGTATATCATAGTTGACTATGTGACCTTGGATTTCTGGTCTGATCAAAGGAAAACACGATAACATGTAATTTTTTCGAAAGAAAAAAATTGCAAAGTAAAGATTTCTTAAATTTACGCGAACACTACACATTGAAAAAAACTAAATTTACGGATTTTATCGCTTTTATTTCACTACTTTTACTTATTTTTAATTTCCGAAGTTTCGGGTGCTTTACAGCAACCATGGTTACGGGGGGGGGGGGGAGACTGAGATGTTTGACGTCCCAATGTCATTGTTAGCCCGGCTACCTTCAGTTTTTGAATATTAATTTTTGGTCCGATTTACGCAAAACGAACTTACAGTATCTTGAAGTCTTGCAGTGATATGCTTGGGTTTGGGTTTCATTTTGTTAATTACAGGATCCCAAGCAGATGACCCAACCATCTTCTCTATTGAAATTTGGATATTTTTTAATTTCAATAGCCTCGCGTATCATCCTTGGTACGAATCGGTGTTCTTTTGCGAGGACTTGTGGTTTATCAAATCTGACGTAATGATGGGGACGATCTTGAACATGTTCACAGACTGCAGACTCCCCGGAGCGTCGGTGCTTCACGTCAGCTATATGGTCTTTCACGCGGGTTTTTATTGATCTTTTTTGTTTGACCTATGTAAGAGAGACCACATTCACTATATAACTTGTACACTCCTGCATCTTGTAGAGGGATATTACACTTGACGGATGGTATGTTTTAATGGAAGCTCGCTTCAAGATGAAGCCAACCTTGTCTGTGATTCCTCTGACATATGGTAGTACAGCTTCACTCGGTCACTGTGACGTAGGCGCGAGACCCGAAGTTTGTTGTCTTGCAATACTTGCTTGACATGCTGAAGTTCGGCGGCCAGATGTTTTCTGTCACAGATCCCTCGTGCTCTCTGAAACAAAGATTTACCCACGGTAGCTAACTGTGAAGGATGATGGTGAGATTCACCATTTAAATATCGGTTGGTATGGGTCTTTTTCCTATACACTGTGTGACCAATTGTGTTATTAGGATTTCGAATAACTAAAACATCTAAGAAAGCTAAAGAATTATTTGCCTCTAACTCCATTGTGAATTGTATTTTAGAGTTTATAGAGTTAAGGTGGTTTAAAAATGCATGTACTTTGTCAGATGGTAAAATTGTGAAAGTGTCGTCTACGTACCGCTTGTAGAATCTTGGATTTACAGGAGCAGTAAGAAGGGCTTTCTCCTCGAAGTCCTCCATGAATATGACGGCGACTATTGGAGATACAGGTGAGCCCATCGCCACACCACCTACTTGCTTGTAGAACTCTTCCTTCCACAATAGATAGCCAGATGTGAGGCAGTGTTTGAGTAATACTGCATATTCAGCAGGCATGTTATTATCTTCTAGCTTCCTAGTTACAATTGATATGCAGTCTTCAATAGGTAGGCATGTGAATAGTGACTGAACATCAAAACTGACCATAGTTTCATTGTCAGCGAGATGTAGGTCTTTTATCTCACTAACAAAATGGTATGAATCCTTTGTGTGTGCTCTGATATGTCCCCTCAGTGGTGACAGTACTTTTGCCAAGTGTTGTGCCAGCTTATAAGTTGGTGAATCGATCTGGCTCACTATAGGACGTAGTGGAGCGTTTGGTTTGTGTATCTTCGGTAACCCATACAACCTCGGTGGTTTGGTACATAATGGTATTAGCGAATTCACGTCGACAGTATTTCTTTATTAAATCGCTAGTAGCCGAAGTATATATAGTTTATTAAATCGCTAGTAGTAGAAGGTAGCCGGGCTAACAATGACATTGGGACGTCAAACATCTCAGTCCCCCCCGTGACCATGGTTGTTGTAAAGCACCCGAAACGTCGGGAATTAAAAATAAGTAAAAGTAGTGAAATAAACGCGATAAAATCCGTAAATTTAGTTTTATTCAATGTGTAGTGTTCGCGTAAATTTAAGAAATCATTATGTGAACCAGTACGGACTGGTGGAATAGCAAATAAAATTCGCCGATTAGAAGATCTTAAAACCAAGCGTGCAAGACATATAACATCCTTAAACTTCTTGAAGAGATGCAGAGACCATAATCTCATTCCTACGTGTGTCAAAATATCAACAAAAAAGGACATTCGAGGAAGCGCAAAGATCTTAAATCAGGCAAGTAAAAAGTTGTTACGAACGGTCATTCAGCAGAAACGGTTCGATTCACATGTCATAAACAACACCATAGACAATTTGTTCAGTGAGCTAAAGACAGTTTTAACGACATTTGATTTTAATAATTGCACCGAAACTTTAAACAAACGAGAAACAGCAAAATACAATGAATGCAAAAATAAACAAATAGAAAAATACCAAAAATTAACGATCAAATCAAATGCCAACCATCTAAGTAAACGTCAGAACGAAACACAACCGTTGACCACAGACGCAAACAATAAACAACGCACAGTCTATAATCTGTAAAAACATACACTGGACGAACCAACAATAAAGGTATTAGCCTATACTCTTTGGTATTAGCGAAGGGAATGAACTTCGCATTAACACTGCGAAAAATCCCGTACGATGAAATTATCTGTAATGTTGAGGATTGTCTGTTTAAAAATAATATTGGAAAGGAAGATTTGGAGGCTATACGTCAAAATATTTCGTCCTTTTTACGTCGTAGTTCAGTGCCGAAACCAAACCTTCCTAAAGACGAATTTACAGCGTGATTAACTTACGGAACAGACCAGAGCTAACGATTCTCCGCGCGAATAAAGGAAATGCTACGGTAATAATGGACACGTCAGAGTATAATTTTAAAATACTACAGCTTTTATCGGACGAAAGTACATACAAAAAGGACAAAACAGACCCCACAACTAACACGCTTAAAGCAACTAGCGATTTAATAAAGACATACTCCGAAAAATTAAATCTCGACGTGAATTCGCTAATACCATCATGTACCAAACCACCGAGGTTGTATGGGTTACCGAAGATACACAAATTAAACGCTCCACTACGTCCTATAGTGAGCCAGATTGATTAACCAACTTATAAGCTGGCACAACACTTGGCACAAGTACTGTCACCACTGAGAGGACATACCAGAGCACACACAAAGGATTCATACTATTTTGTTAGTGAGATAAAAGACCTACATCTCGCTGACAATGAAACTATGGTCAGTTTTGATGTTCAGTCACTATTCACATGCCTTCCTATTGAAGACTGCATATCAATTGTAACTAGGAAGCTAGAAGATAATAACATGCCTGCTGAATATGCAGTATTACTCAAACACTGCCTCACATCTGGCAAGTAGATGGTGTGGCGATGGACTGACCTGTATCTCCAATAGTCGCCGACATATTCATGGAGGACTTCAAGAGAAAGCCCTTCTTACTGCTCCTGTAAATCCAAGATTCTACAAGCGGTACGTAGATGACACTTTCACAATTTTACCATCTGACAAAGTAACTGCATTTTTAAACCACCTTAACTCTATAAACTCTAAAATACAATTCACAATGGAGTTAGAGGCAAATAATTCTTTAGCTTTCTTAGATGTTTTAGTCATTCGAAATCCTAATAACACAATTGGTCACACTGTGTATAGAAAAAAGACCCATACCAACCGATATTTAAATGGTGAATCTCACCATCATCCTTCACAGTTAGCAACCGTGGGTAAATCTTTGTTTCAGAGAGCACCAGGGAACTGTGACAGAAAACATCTGGCCGCCGAACTTTAGCATGTCAAGCAAGTATTGCAAGACAACAAGCTGCGGGTCCCGCGCCTACGTCACAGTGACCGAGTGAAGCCGGCCACAGTCGAGCGTGTGCCTGCTGTACTACCATATGTCAGAGGAATCACAGACAAGGTTGGCTACATCTTGAAGCGAGCTTCCATTAAAACATACTACAAGCCGCCGAAGAAGATTAGTCAATTTTTACCATCCGTCAAGTGTAATATCCCTCTACAAGATGCAGGAGTGTACAAGTTATATAGTGAATGTGGTATCTCTTACATAGGTCAAACAAAAAAGATCAATAAAAACCCGCGTGAGAGACCATATAGCTGACGTGAAGCACCGACGCTCCGGGAAGTCTGCAGTCTATGAACATGTTCAAGATCGTCCCCACCTATTACGTCAGATTTGATAAACCACAAGTCCTCGCAAAAGAACACCGATTTCTACCAAGGATGATACGCGAGGCTATTGAAATTAAAAAACATCCAAATTTCAATAGAGAAGATGGTTGGGTCATCTGCTTGGGATCCTGTAATTAACAAAATGAAACCCAAACCCAAGCATACCACTGCAAGACTTCAAGATACTGTAAGTTCGTTTTGCGTAAATCGGACCAAAAATTAATATTCAAAAACTGAAGGTAGCCGGGCTAACAATGACATTGGGACGTCAAACATCTCAGTCCCCCCCCCGTAACCATGGTTGCTGTAAAGCACCCGAAACGTCGGAAATTAAAAATAATTAAAAGTAGTGAAACAAACGCGATAAAATCCGTAAATATAGTTTTATTCAAAATTGCAAAGTAGGCTCTAATTAGTTACATTTCTCTACGACACCGCAATATTTTTGCGACTAAGTTCATGGAATTATTTTTACGTTATAGTAAATAATCATATCTAAGTTCTCATAAACAATTTTTTTAATCACCAAACAACATTTTTTTAACATGTAAAAAAATGTTGTTTGGCGCTTACTTAGTTTTTTCCGAGCGCCTGCTCGGTATAGCTTTCTCATAATTTGCGTATTATGAAGTCATTGCCACTTCATCACTTTCATTTTGACACTCAAGTGTTGCTAGAGTTTAAAACCGAAAAACCGGACAGCGAGATTAGTCGGACATTTTGGAAAAAGGCCGGACACCCTTATTTTTTTCTAAGTAAAAGACATTTTTTTAAAGTAATACAATGCTTTTTATCATTTCCCGTAAAATCTGAAGTTCTAACTAAATAACAACAATTGAATAAATTAGTCTTCTTTATTATTAGATATTCAATATTAATTTCGATAATTGCAATGGTATTTATGTAAGTATATGAAAAATGTAAAGAAATGGTCAAATTTAAAAAGAAGCCGACAACGTCTAATTTGGCCGGACACGCAACCAAAAAGCCTGACTGTTTCCGGCTTTATCCGGACGTCTGGCCACGCTAGCTACACCATGTCGTCCCGTAAGAGTCGTAAGAGCCGACAGAGAGTAATTTAAAAGTCACTTAAAAGGATAAAACCTCAAAATAATAAAAGGAACTGCGGTCATAAGCCTGCCAGCCAAGGGTCACCCTTGCCACCCTACTATAGCAAAATGCCATCTATGAGGCAATCTAATTGCCTATGTTTAGCAGTGGACTTTTATAGGCTGTAATGGATGCAGAGAACTCCTGATTGTATGAAATATTAAAGTGATCAAATATCGAAAACTTGTAGAAAAGATAACTTACTATTTTCCTTGCACGCTGGTGGCTGCCCTGCCCATTTACCGTCGGCTTGGCAGCTCCTGCTCTGAAGCCCCACCACGTGGTACCCGTGGGGACAGGAGTAAGTAGCCCTGCGTACAAATAATATAAAGTTAGCTCAGTGGTGAAGGAACATATCGTGAGAAAATGAGCACGCCTGACAAATACTTTTTTTTTCCTTAAGCCAGTGCTTGACTACTATCAGAGCTGATGGGAAATAGTGATGAAGCCGGAGATATTAAACCGTGCTGACTTAGCCTAAAAAATCCTATTTACTTCCCTTGAAGACACTCACATTATAATCGGATGGAAAGACAGAAGTTGGCAAACTTTTGCACATTAGTGATCTATATTTCATTCATTTCATAAACCTTAATTTTTCCTTCTTCAAGTTTACGCCATGTTTTACATGATTGTTGTATTTCTTTTTGATTTTGCACTGTATTATTACTGAGTTTTCGTTATTTCTCATTACAGTAAGGTTCACGATCTTCATCTTGTTTATCAATATCATCTGAATTTCTCAAGAAATATGTCGTCTCCATTATTGTCTCAATTTTAGCTATTCTCCATAACTGCTGTAATGTTTTAGTTTTAGTTTTAGTTTAAACAATTAGTAACTGATGTTTAATGACATCAGTTACTAATTGTTTTTCTGGTATCGGATATGGTAATTGATAATGTTTGTTCCTTTTCAATAACATAAAAAAAGTAACTGACCATGTTGCGGTGCGTATTTCTATTTAATTTATTTTGTACAAGAAATCTCTTTGTTTTATTTTGTTCCTATTCACCCCAAAATACTTTTAGAAAGTCTGCTTTAAAATAATCAAAAGTTGTCCAGCGCACACTATTAATGCGAGCTCAATATATGGCTTCACATACTAAGCACTCTTGTGCTACTGATATTTCGAGACTATTAGATGGAACTTTCTTTAAATAATTGGTGAGATCTTCTAAAAATGTTACTGAACGAGGATTTCCATTTCCAAATTTTGGCTTTTCTATTGTCACATTATGTATGTTATATACAATATTCTGTTTCTTGGCTTACTTTAACTTGGTGATCTTTCGTTTGGTTAATCAATTTTTCCTCGAGATCTTTTATTTAAACCTCAAGTTTTTACAGCATTCTTAATAAAATTTTGAAGTACCTTAAATTCATTTTTAGGCTTAGCCTTAACTAAGTTTTTGTTAGAACTTTTCTTTGATTATATATATATATATATATATTGTTGCGCGGCTAAGTTGACATCTGGCACTAGCGCCATCTAGTGTCGGGTAACGGAGCGAGGGGAGAGCTTTCCAGAAAATGACATCACTAATCTTTCAACCGACAGCGCCATCTGTTGTCGAAGAACTAAGCTTCTGGAAGCTGACTCTCGAACTTTCGGCGCTTTGTCGATCGGTGCGCGTATTTACTTGAATGTTCTGGATGATTCGGTACTAAGGTATTTATAGGCGCTGCAAGGTGCGATCGGGGAAGTATTGAATTTGTCGAGACAAGCGAAGCTTCGGAGCGGAATAAAGTGAATCAGTGTGATTAATTATTAGTGTTTTAAGTTTAAATTTGTGTAAAGAAAATTAAAGTGTTAATTTAGGTAATTTTATCGGCAATTTTTATTGTCAAGAACCTCAAGCTCGTAACAATTGGTGTCAGAAGTGGGATAAAATCATACCGATTTTACCTAAGGAGGAAACGGAGGGTGTCCGTAACCGAAGTCAACGCCAGCAGGAGACGGACCAAAGAAGATTTGGTGGTGCAACGCCGCAGACGTCGGAGGGCCAGCCACCGGCTGCAGGCCCGTCGGTAGTCCCTACATCTGCAGCACCTGACTTAGGTGCTCTGATGGTGATGCTGCAGGAGCTGGCTCGCCGACAGGAGGAACAGGCCCGTTGGTTGAAAGAGCAGCAGGAGGAACAGCCTCGCCAGCAGGCGGAACAGGCTCGCCAGCAGGCGGAACAGGCACGCCGATTGGAAGAGCTGCTACGGGGCGGACAGGAGGAACAGGCCCGCCGACAGGAAGACCAGGTTCGTCGTTTGGAGGAGCAGCTGCGGGGCGGACAAGAGGAACAGGCCCGTCGGTTGGAAGAGCAGATGCTTCTCATGAAGGACCTTCACGCTACCTTCGGGAAGGAGATAAAGGAGGTGAAGGATAGGGTTGCTCAGCATGACAACCGCCTGTCGGAAGCTGAAACTCAAATCGCGAAAGCTGAAAACCGAATCGAGAAAGCTGAAACCCGAATCGACCAAGTAAACCATCGGATTGACAACGTAATGGCTGACATGAAGAAATCACTGGACGAACTCAAACTTGGAGATGGAGCTACAGCTCCCGTAGTAGCTACAACACCTTCGCTACGTGGGTTCAAGGTGCCACTGTTCGACGGTACCTCTTCCTGGTCAGCCTACAAAATCCAGTTCGAGGCTGTTATGAAGGCGAACGGCTGGAATAAAAGTCTGGCCATGACTGCTCTCACACTAGGCCTGCGCGACCAGGCCTTAACAGTTCTAGAAGCTCTCGGTGAGGAAGTGACTTACGAGCAACTCCTTGAGGCATTGGAGGCGAGATATGGCGACCCTCACCTGGAACACGTCTTTAGTGCGCAGCTTAAAGATCGCGTGCAGCGCAGCAACGAAAACCTGCAGCAGTGGGCTCTAGAGGTGGAGAAGCTGGTGCGAAAAGCATACCGGTCTGTACCTGCGCTCATTGAAGGGAACCTGGTGCAGATATTCATCGACGGCATCCGCGAGCTGGAAGTCAGGGCTGCTGTGAGGCTCGGGTACCACGAGACGCTTAAGGACGCCTTGGCCCATGCACTGGAGGTAGAAGCCGTGCGGCAGGATCATCGTTCCAATCGCGTCAAGGAGATCGCAGCAGCTACAGTTCGCGACCACAACAAAGGATTCAGCCCTAGGTGCTATGGCTGTGGGGAAAAGGGCCATCTACGATCCAGCTGCCCTAAGCGAACTGAAGAAAGGGAAGTTGATCGATCTCGAGAGGGTAGTGCAGCTAACGGCACCGCCTGGCGGTGGCTGCAACATCATTCCCCTCACGCTAGGGAGGTTGGAGCAGTTCGCGACCACAATAAAGGATACAGCCCTAGGTGCTATGGCTGTGGGGAAAGAGACCATCTTCGATCCAGCAGTCCTAAGCGAACCCTGGAAAGAGAAGGTGAACGATCTCAGAAGGGAAGTGCGGCTAACATCACCGCCCAGCAGCAGCCGGGATACGACTTTACTATCAGACATCGCAGCGGGAAATCTCATGGCAACGCAGATGCATTGTCATAAAGACCTTGTCCTGAAGATCGGAAACATTGTACTAGGCAAGAGAGTAAGGAAGTGGTATCCGTGAGGATGCTCAGGACAGGACCACCTCAGCAACGAGTGGAAGGACAGCCTACGACATGCACAGCAGGAAGATCTGGACATCAAGCCGATTCTGGAATGGATGAAGGCCCGTGCTACCAAGCCTAAGTGGAGCGACGTCTCAGCGATGAGTTCAACCACGAAAAGCTATTGGGCCCAATGGAACAGCTTGCTGATTCAGGATGGAGTCCTGTGCCGTAAATGGGACAATTGTCGAGGAGACAGCTGTCGTTTGCAAATGGTTGTCCCTAAAGCTAAAGCTGTCGTGTAGTGGCGGTTGAGAATATCCACTACCCCATATCTTCCCGTGGGTGTCGTAAGAGGCGACAGAGGGAGACAGGCAGGAGATGGGCAGCAGCATCTTCCTGATAACAACTGTGTTATAATAAAAAACTGCGGTTGCCAACCCGCTCGCCAAGCGTGCAACTATGGCAAATATCCCCCCATGAATAACGACGCAAAAAAACGGCCCCTAGTCCCCGGCGGCCCCACTATTCCTGGCTACGGTGGCGACCATGGTAACGGCGGGGCAGGGGGGTGCTAAGGAATCTCTACACACTGAGTTCTAATCCCCTCCCCCTCTATTTGGCAGCCATTTTGTTTTTCTCTTGAGATATTCTCTATGCGTTTACGAAAAAAGTCATATCTCTGAAAGTTTTAGTCTTACTGAGATAAAAATTAACTCATTCGAAAGCCAATAATATTGTTTATCGTTTACATTATCAAATTTTTTGACATACTTGTAACTTTGAAGAAAAAAATTTTACTTCAAATAAATATCAAAAAAATATGATAATCGGCAAATTATTGTAAATTACTGCAAAAAACAAACCCGTTTACCCCTTCTTATTTTTATACTAAATCGACAGATTTTGAGTTAAGCTACAATGCAACATAAAGTTTACAGCTGTATGTTTATTACTTTAAGAATTATTGTTGTTTGAACATGGCGTATGCCCAAACACAAAAGGCCTTTGTTAAGTGACAACTGGCACTGCCTGCCTAGGAGTAATAGTGTTCTGTGCTGCCTGCTCTCAAATTATACTACTTATAAATGATGATTCTGATTCTCTGATCTCTATTTCATCATCTCTAATTCATCGAAGATCATAAGTAATCTCAGATTACTATTACTCCTAGGCAGGCAGTGCCAGTTGTCATTTAACAAAGGCCTTTTGTGTTTGCGTATATGCTATGTTCAAACAACAATAATTCTTAAAGTAATAAAGATACAGCTGTAAACTGTAAGCAACCAAATTCTTCTGTATCTGTATGAATGATGAGATTGAAAGAAAAAAGGCAGAATTTAGACGTCTAAATAAGAGTGTAAGAAGTATTTGAAAGAAAAAAGAAAGAAAGAACGGATAAGATCGATAAAAATAACTAATATAAAAATGTTCTGGAAACTCGTAAAAACTGCCAGGGGAAATACAAAACAGCCTATAATTAATGCTATAAGAGACGAGAATGGATGTATTCTGAATGATGAAGTTTCGAATTTAAACAGATGGAAGGAATACTTTGAAAGCGTGTTTATGATTGAAGAGTCGTCTGAATTAAATGAACTAGAAATTCCGAAAGAAGTGGAAGGGGATATGGAGATTAGTGTAGATGAAATAATGAAAGCAATGAAAAGCATGAAAGCAGGTAAGGCAGCTGGATATGATAGAGTATCAATCGAGATGCTAAGGGCTGGAGAGGGAGTGGTGGCAGGCCTCC